GTCACGAAAAGCATTTCCAACAAACTACAGACATACAAAAATAGGTGTCGCCTATGCTCACTTCATACTGAAGATCACATCAGATGAGAAGGTGAGAAAGAATAAAGAAGGAGGAACTCTCATCTAGCAACGAACCAAACCAACAACCTATCGTTCAACAAATATGCATTAGAAGAAGGTGAAGACTGAGATGGATTAGACATACACTGAGAAGACGGTTCAGGGATATCATATGCCAAGTCAGGCCGTCGAGTAGAATGCAAATAGGAAACGACACGTTAGTTGGGTGTCTAAGCGTGACATGAAGAAGATGGTGTGAGGAAGAAATGAAAGCTCATGAGCAATGGTGGAGCAAGGTTGAAAAGACTGGACAAAACAGAGTGAAATGGCGATGTACCACTGATGCTCTATCTCCCGATAGGAACTCAAGGGATAAATATTCATTAAAAAAAATTGACAATCGCTATAGTTGATGGAACATACAATGGTCGAATCTAGTATTTCAAAACTTTAATTAAGTTTTTTCTCGAGTAATCATTACTTTGAAAAGTGTTTCTTTTCTCAACCTGTCAAGAGATATGATGATTTTCGGTTCATTCTCTCGTGTAGTATGCACTTCAAACTGCTAATGTATCTCAAATTCAGAGGGAATAAGTGGTAAGTGCTCATAGTTTTTCAGCAGTTTTCCAAACAACTATAATCTATTAAATTTTGAAGGAGTTGTGGAGATTTGAAAATATTTCAAGTTGTTATTCATCGAAGACTGATATCAGTTGGAGGAACAAAGTAAAACCTGGGAGCACTGGATAGCCGTTTCGTCTTAGTATGGGACTCTTCAGAAGTGCGCACCCACGACCGCACCAGCAGGGATCGAACCCGCGACCTTCAGGTTCCATACTAGGACGAAACAGCTGTCCAGTCCTCCCAGGTTTCCTTTGCTCCTTCAACTGATGTCAGTCTTCGATGAATAACAACTTGAACTATAATCTATGATGAAAGATATCCTGAATGATAAAATTCTTTGTCAGATAATAAAGTATAATGACTACTTCATCCGTATAGTATTTTGATAGGTATAGAACTTAAAAGTCTTTCTTTAAAATTGACATTATAAACTTGAGGATCTTGGTTGTATTGTGTTCTCTGAGGAGTTGGGTTGTTTAATCGTCTAGCTTACATCAGTATGAAGTCATACTGAAGTTAGTGCTGATGACGTCATCCAGGAGAAAGACAATGAAAGCTTCATGATTAAATAATCCACCTCCTCAGAGAACACAATACAACCAAGACCATCCCCACCTGAGGTACAAATATTCTCTATTATTTCAAAAACTTCAGGATCAAATCTTCACATGATAGAGTTGAATAAGTTGAGTATAGAGTAAATCGAGTTAGAGAATAAAACCTGTACAAGTTAACGATTATTTAAACAGTACAAATACTAGTCTGCATAACTACGGCTATCTTATATGATCAAATTGTAATCAATATAATGCTCCCCCGTCTCATTCTAATTCACATACATTTGGATTATAATGAGAAGTTCTGACATTCGCCGGCCAATGTGAATGCGATAAAGTGGTAGTACCACATCATAAATTCACATGGCAGTCGGGAAAAAACCTATGATAATTGAAATGAAATAAAAATCTGATGAGCAGTCGGAACTCGTAGCTTAGTTGTGGTAGACCACCGGCCCGGCAACACAGTGATAGCTGGTTCAAATCCAGGCATTGTCAAAATTTTTATCTCACCTTCAATCAACAACCAGTATAATTATCCACTATGTTTGAAGTGAAGACAGAAGTAAGACAAGGCTGCTGCGTAGTGTCAACAATGATCTTCCTGATTGTGGTCGACTGGATCATGTATAAAACCGTGAGGAGCAAGACGGGTGGCATACGCCAGCTGGACCGATGAAAACACCCTAGAACATTTGGATTTCGCAATGATCATTTATGTCTAATGTCTTGTCGCACAAACTCAAAGATCTACAAGCGAAAAATAACAAGTTGACAGAAGAGGTAGGGTAGTAAAGACGGCACTTCAAGTGAATGTAGAGAAGACGGAGGTGATGATGATACCCAAACAACCAACAACAGCATCAACAACAAGCACCGATCACCATCAACAGCAGAAACCTAAAACAAGTTGTCTCTTTCATCTATCTAGGCAGCATCGTTTCAACCACAGATGACGGCACAGACGAGAATGTCGAAACCAGGATCGGAAAGACAAAAAGACAGGCCTTCCTTCATTAATCTAAAATCAGTGACGAGATCTACTGTACTCAGCATAAAGCGTGAACAACATCCGGATTCTCAACACCAATTCAGTCAAGTCAGTGCTGCTACATGGTTTATGCAGAGATTTGGTGAGTCACGAAAATCATTTGCAACAAACTACAGACATACATCATCAACAACTGCCCCTCACACTCACTCAATACTGAAGATCAGATCAGATCAGATCAGATCAGATCAGATCAGATGTCCAGAAAGAATAAGCAAGGAGGAAATCTGGGAAGGAACCAACGAGGGAAGAAGCTATCGCTGAAGAAAAATGCACTGGAATAAAGTGGAGATGGATTGGATTGGATTGGGCATACAATGAGAAGGTGGATTGGTGACATCAGGCGTGAGGCCAGACCATCGAGTGGAATCCAAAGGGGAAACGACGAGTTGGGTGTCCGAGTTGAGGTTGACATGGAGGAGATGATGTGAGGAAGAAATGAAAGCTTGTAGGCAGTTGTGGTGCCAGGTTGAAAATACTTGAGAGAAGAGAGTGGAATGTAGGCGTGCTACTGAAGCCCTGTATGTTCCACTAGGAATCCGACGGAAAAATAATAATCATAATCAGTATTTGTAAGAGGAAATAATTTTTCCATTTGACTAGGGCTAATAATGACGAACTTGAAGTCATCAATTTGAAATGAGTCGTAGATGTTACGTTAGTGTCTTCTATTCCAGACTTATTGATGAATACAACATCATAGTGGTGGTATTTCAATCAGTCAGTAAAAAACTTATAGTTTTAAGCATGTGTACGTCCACTTTAATCCGGTGTAACGTTAGTAACAAGAGTTTGAAAACAGTGTAAAAGTACAGGATACATTCAGAAGACCCACCTAAAAGAATAAAACGAACAGGAAGGCAAAAATTGTATGATAAATTTGTCGATGGTAAAGTGTTTTGATACCCTGTAGTTTAACCAGGACTCCAGAAACTGGTTGTTCTACCCACCGTTATTATTACTGAAACTTTATTGATAAAAATCGAATGTGTGTATGACTTTCCATCGTTAGCTTTCGATATTTCAACGTGAGCGACTTTAAAGTGCATCTTGATAACTGCTGAGACAACTAATAAGGTTTCTATATTCCTCCAGTATGAAAGATAGTTTTTCACAAAATACTGAAAGGGGTTTGGCAGCTATCTTAGCAGTTGCCATGATGGTTTTTAAGGTTACTCTTTTAGCGTGTTTCGCATATATTCACCACTCATGTCTAGTCTAGAGTGTTGATCCGACGTTTATCGGTCATTTTGCAAGTCTAAGTGGCTCATCACTGGTGCACTTGAATATATGGGTGATTTAAAAGGCCACCGTAGTAACTTTTAGGAGAACCAATTACTTTTCTTCATTTTATTTAAAAAAATGGGCTATTTTAAAGGCCGCCTTAGCAACCATCAAAATAACCAATTAGATTTCTTTATTTCGATTGGAGAGAGAAAAAAGGAAGGAAGGAAGGAAGTAGCCTCCTTCACCTAACTAGGCAGCACTGTCTCAACTACAGGCGGCACAGACGAGGAACCTAAGGGAAAAATAAATATGATGTTTGTTGATAAGATGATAGGTTAAAAAGGTTGAAATCATCCTCTCAAGCTATTAACAATACGTGAAACAGATGAACAGATAGAATCAAAGTAGAACCTTGAACACAAATGGATTACCACACGTTGCCATTGAAAGTGGAGGATACACAAAAGGCTTCAGGTGTTTGACCACCGTTGCCTTCGTAGTATAGGACGTATTCCGTGGTGTCACCATGTGAGTGATGCAGAAGTCAGGTGTAGAGTTTTAGGGAGAAGAGGTAAGTCAGTTGAAGAGGTTGTGGACCTTCATCGACTGAGATGGTTGGGACACGTACTACGTATGCCTAGTCACCGATCGCCTCATCACACAATGTTGGCTGAGGTGGATCCAGGCTGGAAAAAGGCTCGAGGTGGCCACACTAAAACATGGCACCAATGTATGAAGTCTCTGACTGTTGGTTTAAGACATATAGGACGATGCAGACCAGGTGGTTGGGGTCCACGGGACAAGAGGAACCAGTGGTTGGAGACCCTAGGTGATATGGCTCAGAACCGATGTCAGTGGCGCACATGTATCCCCACACATATTATCCTCATCTTAACAACACTATACCGAATCTCACTATTTTGTCACTCCTCTTTCCTTTCTTCTCGTACTTTATATTTCTTTCGACTGCATTCACTTATCTTCATCCTTCACCTCACTACCTTTTTACTTGATGTGCTGATATAAGGTGTGGCAACTCGGAGCGTACGCAGTAATGCCTGGTCCTATGTTGATAATGATGATGATGACCACACGTTGCCGCCAAACTTCACAAAGACTAGGTGGATATCATACTAGACAAAGTTATATGCAACAGAATAAACAATTTGAAGATAATATTTATTGAGAATTATTCAAGGTTTAGAAGAATTCAAGAAGTGTAAACATCGGCGTGATTGTAACTATGTCACTAGGCACCAAGAGTCAATCGTCAATCACTGATTCCTATCATCTTAAAAACTTTAACCAGATATTCTAGACCTAACTCATTTACACAGCTTAGATCACTAGCCGAAGGATTTTATCGATTAGTGGCTACACCTTAGTCTGAACACTCTGAACCCTCTCTTCCAATAAATAATGAATACAGAATATACACTAAATGATAATTGATTTTTAGTGTTAAACATCAATAAACTTACAAGTATTCGTTTAAATAAATCCCAAGCATCCTGATTATCTTCAGACCATAGAGCAACCAATTGACGACTTAGCTGTCTTATTGATTCGAATAGAGTAGATAGAAATTATTTTCAAAAAAAAAAACAATAAAAGGAGTGAATAAAGTATGAAGATTATTTCTATGCATGAAAAAAAAAAGCAGGAAGAGGGGAAGGGGAAATAGCAGTGCAATGATACATGTAATTTCCCATTGATATACAACGTCAAGTTACTCGACCTATGTTAGCAGAGGGGTTCCCTATGCTAATGCCTCAATATTGACGGGTATTAATGATGTTACACTCATCTTGATGACTAGCAGAGGAATTCAGGACGCATGTTTCGTCATATTTGCAACTTGTCAGTTGGATATACCTGCATCCTAGTGCGGAGTGGTGCTACTCACACTCAGGTTCCAACCCAGTAACCCTTCGCTCCACAAGTCCCAAGTAGGATGAAACGCGTGTCACGGACTCCTCTTATCGTATCCTAGTGGCTTAGTGAATAACGCCCCGGCATTTGAAGAGAAGGGTACTAAGTCCAAGCCTCAGTGGGAACAACATCACTACGCAGTGGTGTGTAGGTACACCCAGCTCACAAAACGAGTCCCAAGTAGGATGAAATGAGCGTCCTGGATTCCTCTGGTAGGTACACCAAGATCAGTATAATATCACCTGGATACTATTCAAACTTCCACTTTTTCCTTGTCTTTTTGATGAATACGTATTCTCTTCGTTGTATTTTGTTCTCTGAGGAGATGGGTTGTTTAATCATGACGCTTTCATCGTCCTTCTAGATAGTGACATCATCAGCTCTAACTTCAGTATGAAGTGAGCCGTCAATATCTTTCTGTGAGTGATTTTGTAGCTTACCCTGACCAACTGGTTTGTGATTGGTTGTTTCCTTTGATTGTTATGTCATTGACTGACTGCATAGAGTTTCCTATTGGCTGTCCCTCTGAGTAACCTCTCACCTTTCTGTCGTTTATCACCTTTCTTATTGGTTGATAGATTGGATCTGTGTCTATACATCCATCTATTGAGTGCTGACTGACTGATCTGAATGACAAGCTTCTAGGAATTCTTTGATATTTTTTGTGTTTCCTCTGTCCGAATTACTAACCCAATCTATCAACCAATAAGAAAGATGATAAACGACAGAAAGGTGAGAGGTTAAGCAGAGGGATAGCCAATAGGAAACTCTATGCAGTCAGTCAATGACATAACAGTCAAAGGAAACAACCAATCACAAACAAGTTGGTCAGAACAAGTTACTGAATCACTCATGGAGAGATATTGACAAGTCACTTCATACTGAAGTTAGTGCTGATGATGTTGTCCAGGAGAAAGACGATGAAAGCTTCACGATTAAACAACCCATCTCCTCAGAGAACACAATACAACCAAGACTATCCGCCTGAGCTACAAATATTCTCCACTATTTCAGAATATATATTCGTAACTACGTCAATATTTGCTGAAAACAGATGACTGCAATATTCTTAAACAAGATTTCGAAAATGAAACTTTTCATCAAGCTTCAAGAACATATCAAATGATAATAAATAATACAACCCAGCAATCACATTCAGGATTAAACTCTGAGGAATCACTTATTAACGTATCCTAGCTTCAGTAACTGTGCAGCGTCGAATCTCGTAACTTAGCGATTAGAAGTTAGACGATACCTAGTCTATGTAGATCTCCTCAATACCATGCCCATTATCATAGTTTTGAGTTAACTTCATCATTGACTTACAAATGGGCATAATCTTACGTAACACCTCTGATTTCATAAGGAATGATCTACTACTCCCTGGAGGGCTTCTACTTAACTTGAAGAAGACAGACGATACTGTTCTGCTAAATGAACACGCTGAAGCAAAGCAGGGTTTCTTAAAAGCGTTGAGCAGAAATCCGAGTATATACGGCATACATTTACCACTTGTTAAATATAAGATATCGCTCCAAGACTGACCTGCAACCACTCCTAGATCAATGATAGGCGGTGAAGTGATGGAATGTGGGAAGTTGCTGATGAGATCTCATATTTTATACAGAAGACCAGTTTGGTACCTGCCAACTTGTCAATGACCGGTGAGATATTCGACTAATTGTTAAGGGACGAAGGGTATACTGTACTGCAGTCCGTTCTGTTCTGCTGCATGACTATGAGACATGGCGGTTCAAAGTAGAAGACATGAAGCGATTACAGAGTTCTGATCAAAGATGTCTTCGCAGTTTTACTCAGGGTTCATCGAATCCTGTATGAGCAATGCTGAGGTCAGTTGAAGAGTATTAGGCCCGACAGAAAAGTCGATCGATGATAAGGTATTAAACCTTCAGGGACTGTGATGGCTTGGACATGTGTTGCTCGGGTCTAGTTACCATCTACGTGAAAGTGCCATCCTATAGGAAGCTAGATTAGTTGCAAGAACGTTCCCATAGGGGTTAGATTAAGACGTGGTACCATTCGATGAAGTCTGTGACTGCTGTTCTGAGTTGGGTGAGGTAGATTATTTGGTTGGAATACTGGAGACGATAACAGTCAGTAGTTAAGGACTGACGTCTGGTGAAATGGCTGAAAATCGGTCACAACGGTGCAGATGTAATCACTCCATGACTATTTGCAGATTGTTTATTCCTTCATATACAACTTTGTCTATCATTGATATCAGTCTTCTTTTATCCATCTGTTCCTTGTATGCTACTGTGAAGTGTGGCAGCTTGAAGTGAAGCATCTGTGTTCAACGTTCTTTGTTAATTTTTTCAGTCAGTCATGATAGAAACCATTTATATGTCCCAATGACTTCAGTATTCGACTTGTATGAAGGTATGTGCCACTCAGATCCTATTACATCTACTTCAAGTTGGACGACCGACTTATATCATAAAATTGTTAGACCTGTTATCGACCAGAGTCAATTAGAATAACACAGTATACATCGATTAAATAATACTGTTCCTTCAATGTGCGTGACATTTCTAATACACAGATTAAAATGGAATCGCAATCTATCATAGTGCCCAAGTTTTACTCCTATACTGACATAAGAATTGTTGCCTTAAGCCTCAAGTTGAATAACTTAGCGGAAATATTTGTAACTGTAGTACTGGTTAAGGCAGATTCTGTTCTATTCAGGTATATCAGTTCCCTAGAACTTTCAGAAATATCTTCCACCCAATTGCCTACAGCAGCCTAACAAAGGTGACAATTATTTCTTGCTCTCCAATGTTTGATATATATATATATATATATATATATATATATATATATATATATATATATATATATATATATATAAGTGTGAATACTTGAACAGCAAACATTCGGATTCTACCCGTTGATGGTCACTTAGTTCTTCGATAATTGGGAGAGGCGGCAAGACTGAAGTAGGTGCTTTGCCACAACAAAAATATATACGTAAAATACAAGGGTTTATATATATATATATATATATATATATATATATATATATATATATATATATATTTGCTAAGGCCTCGACTAACCTCGCCTGGTTAACTAGTCCACTAGTTACTAGCCGGTCCTAAGCCCAGGTAAAGAGGGAAGGTTGGGCATAGGACTAGCAACCCTACCCCGTAAAACAAATCTAACCGCTAAACAAACTTCAAAGCACAAACGATATATGAAAAATAAAAACAAAATTATTCCTCGCTGGAATCGGAGAGGCGAAATGACGCCAGTTGGTGAAAGCCTGCCTTCGGGAAGCCAATTGGCCGATGTGTCTTCTCTCCCTCGATGACAGCGAAAGTAAACGTGGGGACATGGAATGTCCGCACGATGTTTGAACCCAGCAAGGCAGCCCAGATTGCAAAAGAGATGAGAAGGTATCACATAGAAGTGTTTGGGATTTGCGAGAGCAGATGGAATGGGAGTGGACTCTCCAAACTGTCAACTGGAGAATCAATAATCTACTCCGATATTGTCATCCAGACGACAACCACGAGCACACTGAATTCTAGAGTGGCTATCATGATGTCCCCAAGAGCATCGAAGGCTCTCATGCAGTGGGAACCAATCTCCTCCTGTAGGATCATGACAGCAAGATTCAACTCAAAAGGAAGGAAGGTCACAATCATACAATGCTATGCACCTACAAATAATAAAGGCCTTGACTACTTCCCGACCTCTCTAGATCTGAATGTTCTACTAGCTTTTTGTCTCTTCAACCAACCTGATATTCATACGTTGGTTCACGTGTTACCACTCAAAACGATTGGTTGTAACAGGTTTTAGAGATTCAGTATTTTTTATGCATATTGTATAAATCTTATTTCGCTGTAGTCGACTTTGTATAGGACTACAGTGAAAACAAACATGATAATTAGGGTTGAGAGCTAATTATCGATCGCCTTCAAACAACGGACATCTATCCAAATGCAATAGGATGATGATTCTTCTAGCTTGTTGGCTACACTATAAAATAATCATTAAAATTTGTTCAGTACTCAGAGTTGAGTTACTACTCAGATAGCTCAATGGTAGGGTCCTTCACTGTACCACTGAGTAACGCGGGGGTTCGAAACCCTGACAGGATATCTTTTCCCTTCAAGTGGTAGACACGCATTGTTGCTCATCAGAGCTAACAAGCACAAAACACAAGTCTACCAGGGTTTTCTATCGATTTTCTTCAAATATAACTAACAATTTTGAGAATAAAAAGGGAGATTTGATAAGATGACAAATTTTCATTGACTCACTGTCTACACCCTTCGCAGAATGCTAGTTGAAGTAGGTAGGTTAAGGTTGGAAAACGATTAGAAATAGCCGTCGGTCTAAGGTGTGCAAGTGAACATAGACTTTCTGGTTGATGTCAAGATGATAACTAAAATTGGTGATTGACGGATCTGGATAGTATCACTCAGAATGGATTCGAATGATGTAGATGTGTACGCACACACCACCATCATTTCAATCATCATATCAACTTTGTTTGTTGTCTTATCACCTCTCTTCTTATGATACTCTATGACTTCATATGATGTGGTGCTCATTCCTCTCTAATCGTTCCATCTTGATGTGTTAATGCAACATGTGGACCATTACGCATTAATGTCAGGTCTTATACGTTGATATCAACTGATTGAAGGGTATAATCACTGTCTATTTATTTCCATTCAACACAGAGAATATTTGTAAATGATTTCAAGTGCGAACAGAAAATATGGTCGGCTACCTACAATACAATGATCAATTTGCAAATGATTTTAGGTCGAAATTCATCATGGAGTGGAATTGGAAACCTGAGAGCACTGAACAATTGACTGTTTTATCCTAGAATGGCATTACTCTTCAGTAGTGAGCACCCATGACCTTGCCAGGGATCGAATCCAAATGGTTTCCATTGGAAATCAACATGCAACAAAGGTCATGAGGTGTAAGCTGAATTTGTCCAGGTACATTGGTGATGAGTTAAGCACTGAATGAACGAAATGGCAGTCGGATGTATATTTCAATGATCGATGACGTAGCGTACTAATTGATGAACGACATAGATGGCAAATGTACAGTTACCTTGAAGTGGCATAAACATTTATGACCTAAGGAACTACTTACCCCCGACATGATAGTCCTATCACCTTGAAAACTCCTTATTCAAGATTAGACAATATGGAGATTTACCATAAAAAGTGGACATTTTGAAAAAAAAAAGTATTGAATTAAACTTACTGTATGGCTAAACTTCGTGGATCTTTCCCTTGTGTAAAACATGCAATCCAGAAATGATGAATTAATGCACCTTCAGTTAAAGCTAAATTACGTAAATCTTTAGCGACATCTGTTCCACCTTCTTCAATTAAAGCACGCATTATCATTCCACCTCCACGAACAATTGCTAAACTAGGATGCTAAAATTAGGTCAAGAAATTTGTAAAAGTACAAGAATTCAATGAGAATTACGCCCCCAAAAAATGCAACATCAATTTAAAATGTCATTTATTGTAGGTTATTGATCATAAACGGTCAACAAGGCTAGAATTAGGGTGGAGCTCGAGCCTACAAACTCAATCAGATATGAGTTTTGTCGGTTGGCTTAAAAATCCGATAGAACCAATTAAGCAGAGTAATCTAATCTATTAAATTCCATGTAATGACTGTGGGTCAGGTCAAGTACATAGCTCAAACTAGCTGATCAGGGCCAATTAGAATAGCGGAACATGGGAATTTAGCTGAACATAAAGTGACAGACCCGAATAAGATCAATAATCTAGAAAGTAACTCGTCTATTGCAGTGAATGCATTAACACAGAAGTATACACCACAGAATGAGATAAAACCACTTTACTTACTCAAGTCAAACAATAGAAACGGGTGGAGACACCCCACAAATGTAATAAAAATGATGACGCAACACCTGAACAAACCTCGCCTAGTTAACTAGTTCACTAGCTACTAGCTGGTCCTACGCCGGGATCTCATGAAGTGTAAACCAATCTCCTCCAGGATCATGACAGCAAGATTCAACTCCAAAGGAATGAAAGTCACAATCATACAATGCTACACTAAGCACTTACAAATAATGCTGATGACAAGAAGGAGGAATTCTACAGAAAACTGCAATCAGTAATGTACAAGAACCTATACCAGTTGGTGACATCAAAAGTCTAATGGGTGACATGAATGCAAACTGGGAGCAGACAACACTGGTACAGAACTCATCAGCGATCGAGAAGCACTCGGTGAAATGATGAGTGAGAATGGAAAACTGTTTGCAGATTTCTGGGCATTCAACGACTTGGTGATTGGAAGCGATACAGTGTGTACAAACACAAGGATATTCAAAAAGTGAGCAACATGGATTTCATCAGACACCAGGAAACACCAAAAATCAGATCGAATTTATCTCCATCTGAAGAAAGTGGAGGCGCAGCCTACTGGACACAAGATGAAGAAAAGGAGCAGGTGTAGGCCCACACCACTCACTATCTAGTTCAAGGAACCTACCTTCAAATCAAGCTGAAAGCCTTCAAAGATGCTGTTGAAAGGCCAAAATTAAAGATCAACACCCGGAACAGAAACTGAAGGACGTAACTACAAAGGTTATCTCCTCTTCAGTAAGTCATCAGGACAAAATGGGAGATAACGAGCAACATTCCTGAAGAAACCTGTGTGGAAGAACACTGGAACACTTTGAAAGAGATGTGGAAAGAAAACTGCATAACCGTATTAGGAAGGAAGAAGAAAGAAGATAAGGAATGGATCTCGAAGGACACATGGAAGCTAACAGAGGAAAGGAAGATAGTTGAAGCAGAAGATAAACCAGTGCAAGGATGAACAACGAAAAACTGAACATAACCTATAAAACACTGGACAAAGAAGTGAAGAAGCGTGCACGCAAAGGCAAAAGACACTTCAACGACACACTGGCAAGTGAAGCAGAACAGACTGCCGGCTGGTAGGAGAGAACTGACAACATTATATCAAATAACCAGGTTAACATCTGGGAGGAAAGAGATCAACACAGATGAAACCAAAGAAAGATAGTGAAGGAAAGCTAGTTACCAAGCAGGAGAAACAAAGAAAACGATAGGCTGACCATCTAAGAGAACTCTAGAATCGACTATTAACAACACCACCTACAACTCATCCACAAATACAAACAGAAAACCACACACAGAATCATCAGTGAACACAAACACTCCGACAATAACAGAAGTCCTCAACGCCACGCAAGAAAGCACTGAAATACACGAAAGCACTAGCACCAGATAAAATTCCACAAAAACCACCAAAATCAGACACACAGAGAAACAGCACCCAACATGCTCACACCAATAATGCATAAGGCTTCCAACGAAGGAACGAAAGGTACCTGCAAATTGATTGAAAGAACGGCTACCTTGTCATACTCTCAAAGAACGGCGACTCAAGTCTTTGCAAAAATTGCCACACAATCATCCTCCAATCATGTCCATCCAAAGCAAAATATTAAGCAGCAGCATCCTGGAGAGACTACAAGATGCGCTCGATTCAATCAAAACTACGACGGGAACAGGCTGGTTCGATCCACGAAGAACAAATCATGTGCCGATCTAATTCCATCACTACCCTACGCATCATCATGGAACAGAGCAAAGACTGTCAATCAACTCCCTATCTCAACTTCATTGACTTTGAAAAGGCGTTAGATCGAGGCATCGATCGAGATGTAATTTGCCAGACAGCTACTTCAACACTACACTTTTAGTGCCACAAACCTTTATCAAACTCATCCAACAGCAGCCTTATGGACTACTTTCGACGTGTGATTACATTGAAATGATTATGAGCAATTGTAATCTATGCTCGAGTAAATAACACTGTAACACGGTGTGCTGTAATATATGAAGTATACATATGTAATATGGAATTACATTCTAACAAAAGTGCACAAGTTTTACACTTTTACTAACGTACTGAGATGATGAGATTAGGTATGGCGGTTAATATGAGGTTAATGTAGGGATACATCTGGGCGATGGATAACGATTCTAAGTGTCACATCATATAGAGTCTCCAACCACTGGTTTCAACTGTCCTGCGGACTCGAACCAGCTGTTTCTTATCTTCTAACAGTCAAGGACTACACACACACATATCATATTGTACTCTGACCTCCTCCAGCCTTTTTTTGACTGAATCAACTTCGGCCAACATTGTATGACAAGGCAGATAGTGGCTAGCCATACGTAACACATCTCAGTCATCTAGACACTATGAGTAGGATTAGAAAACTCACTTAATGTGCCAATAAATTACACGAGAAATGAAGCCCAAGTGAATCAGGCTATACTGCATAGAAAAGGATAACAGTACTTCAAATACTAGAATCAACGGACCAAAAATCAAAAACACTTTTATACCAATCAAATCCGATCACTTTAAGCGTACACCAGTCAATTACCAACAAGACATGAATGATAGAAAGGAGATACTTCATTTCGTATAATACATAAGCAGTAGAAAAACAAATGTCAACTGGTCACGGGTTCGAATCCCGCTCCACCTACCGAGCGGCCAGGTAGTACCACTTATCCTCATGCCTACTGCATGAATGTATACAAGGCTAATGAATAGATTCGATTCCATTTTAACATTTTGGACGAAGAAACAGGATAAAGTAAAAGAAGTCAGAGGGGAATGCAGTAACAAGACAATGGAGAATGATGTTTTGCAAAAATGACATTGTATTTCGAAGAGGGTTATGGAGACTTAGAAATATTTTCAAGTTAGTATTCATCGTAGACCTGACATCAATTAAAGGAACAATGGAAACCTGGGAGCACTGGACAGCTGCTTCGTCCAAGTACGGGACTCCTCAGCAGTGCGTACCCACGACCCCGCAACCTTCAGATACCGTGGCCATCACGTTACCATTGAGTTACTGGGTCGGAATCCCAATGGTCCATCTTTCCGGTGGGGCTGACCTGATGGTTATGAGGACAGTTACTCAACGATGACAATGGGTGGTGGTTGCGCTATGTCATAAACTGACAGGAGTTTGAAGTAACACTCAAGAAAAGATTATTCATATTTCGTAATGCTGATTATTGTGAACTTTGTTATAATTTGGAAAGTCTATATGTTATGCGGCTATGATCGCTAACGATGCATGGGTAACGGGTCTCAGCCACTAACATTCGACAAATTCCTAACTGATTCCCGACTCAACTAATTAATGGAGAAGACATGACGGACGTATGGGAACGTGTTTTGGAGTAGAAAGACCGGAAGCGAGAACAAAGGCAAATATATCATATATCATATATATATATATATATATATATATATATATATATATATATATATATATATATATAATTCGCTATTTAAAATAAATCTTACTGATTGCTGGTCCATCGTCTGTCTGTTTGTCTGTCTAACTATAGAAGTGATAATATAAACTACATTATGATTAGTCCCACTCTCCAGACTAGACTTTTCTGTCGCTCCCATATCAGAGTTGTAGCTGATTAGTTTAGAGAGCTGAATTTCAATCAGTGGGTCGCAGGTTCGGGCACGGAGGTTTGAGCAGCCAGGTTACTCCATCAGTACGTCTATGATGCAATTGAATAGGAACGGTGACAGTGGGCATCCCTGGTGGACACCAGTAGTTTTCATCACTTCTGATGATAACTTTCCATAGGCTCCTACGCGGCTGCGTCAGTTCCAGTAAAGAGCTTTGATTAAAATTACATATTTGATGGGTACTCCTTTCACAGTTAGACACTGCTACAACACTTCACGGTCGACTTTCAAATACCACCTTCAGGCTAACAAATATGGAAAGTGCTCGGCATCGGTAGGTATCCCGTGTTCGAGAACCTGACTGAGGGTGAAAATATGACGATGCACCCTCGTTCATTTTTTCGTCTGAAACCTGACTGGTTTTCTCCGGTTTGCTGTTCTGGAGCTCGAGTTAGGCGTTGGAGAACTATGGATCCTAAGATATTGGACACAACATCAGTTAAACTAATTCGCCTATGGTTGTCAGAAGACTTCTCCCTCTTCTTATAAACTGGGATGATCAGTGAACTAGACCAATCAACGGGACTATCTCAGATTCTCATACACTACTTAGTACTTCTGTCAGTATAATCAGTAATTTCTTACCTCCATCCTTGAAAACCTCATGTGCTAAACCATCAGGTCCTGCTGCCTCACATCGTTTCAGGTTTAATACAACCTTTTCAACTTCAAGAAGAGTCGAAAGAACCGACATCTATGACCCATTCAGGTTGAGGTTGGATGTTGGGCAAGTGAAGCAGTTGCTGAGGACCTGTTGAACTGTACTTCACAGTGTTCTGCTCAACGTTCTAGACGCTTTTCCAGAGAGGTTATCAACGATCCATTCTTTTCAGTGACGGTTTCACCCACCGTCGTCTTCTTCTTCCCAATATATCTCTCTGATTAGCCTAAATAGTTGGCGTGTTACCCAACGCTGACATCGTCTCCATCTCTCTCATTTTCGCTACCCACCACTGCTTGCAATCGATACAAAGACTCTTGGTCAGCCTAAGTTTAAGTTGCTTACGCTTTTCGTCAGGTTCAGATAAATGCTTACCTACCGCTTCCCTAAAGGGAGACTTAACACCATCATCTTCTAATCGCTTGTTTCCTGTGACCCGTATGGTACAGACACACAGGAGCTCGTACTAGGGCATGACACGAGTCCAAACTGGTACTCCAGAAAGAGCGGCAATCCTCCAATGATGGCTTATAGTAATGTGATACATCTATATCCATCGTTGATTTGATATCGGCATCCATACTAGGGGCTCACACGCCAACAGAGACAGAAATGATAAGTGTCAAAAAATAACAAGCAATCCCCGTAGCAGTGGAAGTTGCTCTCATGAATCTGTAGCCTAGTTGATGAGAACACTTTGAGTATCAGGAACTATCAGTTAACCCAGATGCTCACGAGGGACGAATAGAACGAAACGCATATCTAAGATTCCATTGTTAGCCCTTATCATGCAAATAATAAGAAAGTGAGTCATCCGACTTGAAAGTTTCCACGAATATGTTCTTGGACTTTATATTCTTGTCTGCTTGTCAATGCTGTAATCTGACAGCCTTTCTTACAGTTAGACATATGACAGTTTTAAACTGAGGATACATACTGCCTGAAGTATTCTACACTTAAGCATTGGGTACTGATTCAAATTTACACTCCGCGCTACTTCAAACCTGTACATCCAGGTAGTATCATTATTAGCTATCGCATCACAAGTGTACTTCACAAACCATTAACAATGATAGGTTCGTACATCTTATCCACGTAGAAGTAACCGTAATTAATAGTTAAGATAGGCGGATCAGTGTAGAACTTTGCATAGAAATCTCTTAGTTATTGATGGCACACTTCATAGTATCATTATACAAAGATAAAGTTGTATGCCTAAACCAAAAAAAAAATGAAACATATTAAACAGGTTTCATGATAAACAGAGAAAGTGGAGAAGAAGAAAACTATTCAGCTTACATGAAATAACCGAAATAAAGCACGTCCACGATTGGCCAGTAGACGTAGTAAATTGTCGAATAGACCACCTTCAGACGTCTCAGAATACGGTAGACATACACCATAGGTGAAAAAATCTAATAAAGCACATAGGACAAGCGAACCACTTCCACGTAACTAGACAATATGCAAAAGAAAAGGTGGGAAGTTCAAGTTGAATTCGAACAACAGGCAATCATATATAATAATAATATTGTTATTATTTTTCCCTTGGGTTCCTAGTGGAACATACAGGGCTTCAGTAGCATGCCTCCATTCCACTCCCTTCTCTGTAGTCTTTTGAACCTGGCTCCACGACTGCCCACTAGCTTTCATTTCTTCCTCACATCATCTCCTCCATGTCACCATCACCTCGAACGCCCAACTTGTCGTTTCTCCTTTGGATTCCACTCGATGGCCTGGCCTCACGCGTGATGTCACCAATCAACCTTCTCAGTGTATGCCCAATCCATCTCCACTTTCTTCCAGTGCATACTTGTTAGGTGATAAGTTTTTGGTTGGTTGCCAGGTCAGCCAAGTTACCTGTTGCTTATTCTTTCTCGCCTTGCCATCTGATCTTCAGTATTGGGCCAGCTTAGGTAGCTGTTGATGAATGTCTGCAGTTAGTCAGAAGTGCTTTTCGTGACACGTTTCTGAACCATATGGCAGAACTGAATTGACTGAATTGGTATCAAAAATCCGGATGATGTTCACGCTTTATGTTGAGTACAGTAGATCTCCACACTGACCACAGATTAACGAAGGAAGGCCTGTCTTGCTTTTCTGATCCTGTATTTGACATACTCGTCTATGCCGTCACCTGTAGTTGAAAAGATGCTACCTAGACAGGCAGGTAGGTAGGTAGGTGAAAGAGACTACTTCTTTTAGTTTTCTGTTGTTGATGGTGATTGGTGCTTGTTGTTGATGCTGTTGTTGGTTGTTTGGGTATCTTCATCAGCTCCGTCTTCTCTACATTCACTTGAAGTGCCGTCTTTACTACCCTACCTCTTCTGTCAACTTGCTAGTTTTCGTCTGTAGATCTTTGAGTTTGTGCGATAAGACATTAGACATAAATGATCATCGCGAAATCCAAATGTTCTAGAGTGTTTTCATCGGTCCAGCTGGCGTATGCCACCCGTCTTGCTCCTCACGGTTTTATACATGCTCCAGTCGACCACAATCAGGAAGATAATTGGTTACAGTAGGCAGCAGCCTTGTCTTACTCCTGTCTTCTCTTCAAAGGTATCACTGGGCTTCCCATTGTGGATCGCTTGGCATGCGGCATCTTCATATAACTATTGAATGAGGTTGATAAAGATTTGTGGTATTCCGTAGAGTTGAAGCAACTGTCCAAATTACTTCTCGGTTAACGTTGTCGAAGGACTTTTCAAAGTGGATGAAGTCGAGGTGCAGAGTTGACTGCTATATGAAGGCCTAATTCTAGAAATGCTAAATTAGCATAATATGCTAATAAGAATTTCTGTTAACTGACCTGAAGTTAAATGCATCATACTTTAGTATAACTTCAATCAAATGGTAATATTGTATGCTTCATGCGTAAGTTTTAATCGACGCTCACTCAGACACCTTCTTTGAATACTAACTGACAGTATTATTATCTCTGTTCAAAATCAAGACACCAGTATCCCTCACAGCTCATTTTCGACTAACCGGGAGCTTAGTCACTATACTATACCTGAATAACCTATAAGAATCAAACAGCATTGTGAAATCATAAGGCGATATGCAGATCAAGTAGCAAACTAATTCATAACACGTAAGTGTCGGAGTCCTGAGTTTAATCTCCTATACAAATAGCGGTACTATAAAACTTCTTATCTACCTCAAAAAAATCTTGAATCGACCATCAACAACACCACCTACAACTCATCCACAAATACAACCAGAAAACCACACACAGAATCATCAGTGAACACAAACATTCCGACAATAACAGAAGTACTCAACGCCACGCAAGAAAGCACTGAAATACACGAAAGCACTAGCACCAGATAAAATTCCACAAAAACCACCAAAATCAGACACACAGAGAAACAGCACCCAACATGCTCACACCAATAATGCATAAGGCTTCCAACGAAGGAAGCAAAGGTATCTCCAAATTGATTGAAAGAACGGCTACCTTGTCATACTCTAAAAGAACGGCGACTCAAGTCTTTGCAAAAATTGCCACACAATCATCCTCCAATCATGTCCATCCAAAGCAAAATATTAGGCAACAGCATCATGGAGAGACTACAAGATGTGCTCGATTCAAAACTACGACAGGAACAGGCTGGTTCGATCCACGAAGAACAAATCATGTGCCGATCTAATTCCATCACTACCCTACGCATCATCATGGAACAGAGCAAAGACTGTCAATCAACTCCCTATCTCAACTTCATTGACTTTGAAAAGGCGTTAGATCGAGGCATCGATCGAGATGTAATTTGCCAGACAGCTACTTCAACACTACACTTTTAGTGCCACAAACCTCTATCAAACTTATTCAACAGCACCGCCGCCTACTGTCTTCCTTATTTTGGCCGACTGGACTGGATCATGCAACAAACCGTGAGGAGCGAGAAGATAGGTATATGCTAGCTGGACCAATGAAAAGACTCTGGAACATTTAGATTTCACCAACGATGATGATTTATGTCTAATGTCCTGTTGCGAAAGTTCAAAGATGTACAGGCGAAAGCTAACAAGTTAGCAGAACAGGAAGGGTAGAGAAGTCGTCACTTCCTTTAGATGAATGTAGAGAAGACAGAGGTGATGAAGATACCGAAGCAACCAACAACAACAACAGCACCATCAACGGGAGAAACTAAGGCAAGTTGTCTCTCTCACCTACCTAGGCAACTTCATTTCAACTACAAGCGACGATACAGATGAGGATGTGAAAGCAAGGATCGAAAAAAACACCCAGACAGGCCTCCCTTTATTAATCTGTGGAGATCAGTGTGGAGATCTACTGCACTGCACTACAATCAGCATAAAGCGTGAACAAGATCCGCATGTTCAACAATAATTCAGTCTAATAAGTCAGTGCTTGTATGCATGTTACGAAAAGCATTTGGAACAAACTACAGACATTCATCAACAGCTGCCGCTTACGCACACTCACTCGATACTGAAGATGAGATCAGATGGCAAAAAAGAACAAACAACAAGGAACTCTGGCTGGCTGGCAACTAACCAACCAACAACCTATCCCCCAAGAAATATCCAGAAGAAAGTGAAGACAGATCAGGCATACACTGAGAAAACCATTCGGGGACATCACACGTCAGGCCAGGCCTTCGAGAGGAATTCAAAGGGGACACGAGAAGTTGGGCGTCGGAGGTGAGGGTGACATGGAGGAGATAATGTGAGGAAGAAATGAAAGCTTGTGGGCAGTCGTGGAACCAGGTTGAGAAGACTGTAGAGAAGATAGTAGAATGGCGACGTGCTACTGAAGCCCTATGTTCCACTAGGAACCCAAAGGACAAATAATAATAATAATAATAATGGAACGTCATATTCATTGAATTCTGTCTCATATGATTCTCTGACTTTGTGGTTCAAAGTGAGCGTGATCACTGCGAAATTTACAGGTCTTGGATTCGATCGTTGGTGAAACGGCGTCACGGATGAGCACTACCAATGGGTCGAAACACATGTCCAGTGCTCTGTGGTTTACAATATCTCACCAGTTGATGTCAGACTGTAATGATGACTAACCAGTAAATAAACCGTCAAAAAACCTCGAAAAGGTATCCTTAGATAGTGTGACAAAACAAAGGAATCCGTTTATTGTTATACTTTCTGAGAGAATATAATACATACACTTGACTAACAGCTAACTTTATAGGTAAGATTCACCGATTCCAATCTGGACAAAATCGAGACGACTGAACTGGATAGGAGGATTTAGTCCTTCAAGATGAACAGTTAATTAATCCCCAAATCACATGTATATAAATATGATATATAACCTTGCCCAGAATTCGGAACATTAACTAATCAGTGAATTACCTTGAAAATGGAGGGAGGGGGGAAATGACCTACTTGTTAGGCCACTTTTGCAAGTAGTATTCATCATCAGGATGTATTCATGAAGTCACCAATAATGCAGATAATTGAGATTAATAAGTCATTACTTTGCAAATAGTAAGAATAGTTTACTAATTAGAACTATCTGCTCGAATTAACACAATTGTGTAAGAGAAGGTATCCTTTGAAATGATGACGAGTAATCTTATCCGTCAGCCATGCCAACCATCATGGTTTCTGGTTAACTTCTTACTGAACATACCTAACAGAGATGACCCTAGGTGTCTGGACCTTTACTAGATTGATCGATTCCCTAATAGGCATCTGGTTGACTTGAATTTCACAGACAACACTGTCCTGCTAGGTGAACACATTGAAAAGATACAGCCTTCTGAATGCCATGAGCAGGTATCTGAGTATCTTTGGCTGCTGAATATAATACAATGCTGAACAATTGGAAGTTGAGTGATAGAATGCGCCAACCACTTCACTTACATGGTAAGTTGCATCAGCTCAAATTGATCAGTCTCTAATGGAATTTCAGCCTAGATGTAAAAAGCTGATTTGGCATTTGTCAACTTATATCATCATTTCTGACTAGCTATGACAGAACGAGTATGCTGCACTAGAATCCGCGCTCTGTACTGCTGTATGACTTATCAAACGTGGTCATTGGAAAAAAAATATGTTATGAAAGGAGTACAGATTTTTGATTACATGTCATGGAAGTCTCATTCAGATGTGACACAATCACCTTTTGAACAATATTAAGGTAAATCAAAAGGTATTGAGCAAAGAAGGCAAGTCGATCGATGACGGCGAAACCTTCACCAATTGAAGTGGTTTAGACATGCGTTGAGCATTCCAAGCAACCATCTACATCAACATGGGATATTATAGATGAAGTTGGATAGGGTTGAGAGAAAAATAAGGGTGACTAGACCAAGAGTTGGCATCAGTCGCGATAAAGTTTTTGACTAATAGAAGACAGAGACGATACTTGTTTTCGGGTAAGACTTTACACAATTACATTTACAAATTATTCTCCATAGTCATCATTTGCTTAGTTGAATCCGGGTATGTTAGTTTGTTGGAGGCAAAGAAGTCAGGAAGTCTTGGACCTAGGTTTCATGCTTTCTGGCACTCGTCAGGAAGGCATATCTGCAATCTCGATGGAACTGATGTCCCACCTGAGATTCGAACCAGCGTCACTCAGTGTTGTAGTCAGAGACTTTATCACTGAGCTATTCGGGCCGCGATTGACCTCCTGTACGACTGGCTTACATGTATTGATTGGTCACGGGAGTGAAACCAATTTCATGTTATCTAGTCCTGAGTGCAGACCGAATTCTTTACTTTTCATTTGCGGAAGATAGAAGAAAGCTACAAGATGACTACCAGTGGTTTCGATTCTAAACCATATTTAATAACGTTTTAACCCGCTGAGTTGCCAGATCTCTCCAACCCCACCGAAAGAGTAGTGACGAAACCACAGATGCCAACTCGATACACCTATCTATCAACCCATGGTACCACATCATAAAATGGCCACTTTTACGCTTCTGCCACCCAGTCCCAGGGTTAGCGAACAATCAATGGTGTGGAAGCCGTTGAGACCATATGCGTAATACATGTCCAAACCATCAAAGTTGGTATTTCCAGATGACTCCGCTTTCTGAATGATCTTCTCCATCTCCCGAGTAATACTACAGAGACAATGATGATCAAACGCATACAGTCATCGCATATCGTCAGCTCGGAAAGGTCAGGTTTCATAGGTGTAGAGCACAACTATTGTCGCGACAGAGCCAGATTGACGTATGCCACTTTGACTTTCAATATGTGGTTGGAGATTTCATCACTCACACAACTACCCAGATAAACGAACAAATTTTTGAGTACTTCCAATGGTTCACCACCAAGGATAAGGGTAGGCATAGGCTCCTTCCAATCTTGAAAAAGTACTTTTCACTTTAATGGTCCAAAGCACATACCATATATATGGAGACTAATTATCAAGTGATTAAGTGTGACTTGAATAGCTTGTGTGTTATCGTACAGTCAGACGATATCATCCACATATTCAAGGTCAAATAGCCATTCTCCGAGCAGTAGATCTAAACCATCATAATCCACTTCCTTCAGAGCTATCTCAAAATGTAATCTTACAGTAATAGCCTAAAACTATATGGAGCACTAAACAATAAAACTTCGACAGTTTAATCAACGTATTATAGATGAAATAGTTTCTTGAAGCATGTGATGAAAGATATTTATAAAGAAAGAAATTCATAGTTCAAGTAAAAAGATACTACTTACAGCATGTAATGTGAATATATCGACCAAGTGTGATAGAAATACTTCACTTGACATGATAGAAGCTTTATTCAATTGTTCTTGTCTTATATCTGGATGATCATGCATAGGATGCATTAGAGTATTAATAGAATCCAGTACAGCATGGGTTACAGCATCATCACGCAATTTCAATGCGTTCACCACAATTTGACCCAATGTGATACGCATACTATAAGTAAACAAACAGATTATTAAAAGATGGGGGGGGGAGAAAGTATAATAACACAGTACACTAATGAAATCTCTGACAGGCGAAAAATAACTCTTAAATCAACATATTTTTTTCACAATGAATTTCTTCAACACCGCCACTATCAACATACGACCGGGCATTACTGCGTAACGGTCCGATTTCCCAACACACCTCATATCAGTAGTACATCAAGTAAAAAGTCAGTCAAGGGGAAGATGAAGAAAAGAAAACTCAATCAAAAGGAATGTAAAGTACTCAAGGAGAGAGAGAAAGGAAGAATGAGAAAATGGTGAGATTCGGTATAGCGTCGTTAAGATGAGGATGATAATGTATGTCGAGACACATCTGGCCCATTGACATCAGTTCTCAGCCACTTGATCACATAGAGTAAGTCTCCAACCACTCGTTTCTCTTCTACCACAGACACCAACCACCCAGTCTGCATCCCCCACCCCCACCACATGACTAAAACTAACAGTCGAATACTTTATGCAGTCATGCCATGTTTCAGTCTGACCACGTCAGCCCTTTTTCCAGCCTAGACCTACTTCGGCCAACATTGTGTGATGAGGCAATCGGTGACTAGGCACACGTAACACATGTCCATGCCAACCATCTCACTCTATCAAGGTCCACAACCTCGTCAACTGATTTACCTCTACTTCCTAAAAGTCTACACCTGACTTCTGCATTACTCACGTGATGACATCACGACACACCATAGCCTATACTACGAAGGCAACGGTGGTCAAACACCACAAGCCGTCTCATGTCTTCCACCCTCAGTGGCCATGTTTCACAGCTATACAGTAGAACAGACTGGACTTCTGTGCAGTACACACCACCCTTAGTAGACAATTGGATATCACGGTGGCGCCACATGTAGAGTAAGTTGGCAAAAGTCAATCGAGCCTTTTCTATTAGCGCAGAGATCTCATCGGCCACTGACCAACGTAAAAGGGCCGATCCTACTTCACTTACCAGGTAAGTGAAGTGGTCAACACACTCAACCACTACACTCTCGATTGTTAGCTGTGGCACCGTTGAAGACCAATAGTGCAGCAACAGTTTCCATTTTGGTGGTGAGAAACGTATCCCAAACATTTTCAAATTCTCACTCAGTGTTCACAAGACTCTGCATCTTTTCAGCATCTTCACAGGACTAACAGGACTATGTCATCTGCATATTCTAGGTTTAACGAAAATTCTCCCGTGATTAGGTCAACCTCTGTGTAATCAGGTGACGAGAGGGAGACCTCAATCAGGATATCTATGATAGAATTGAATAAAAATGGAGACCAGTGAGCACCCTTGACGGACACCACCCGATGAGCATAGCGCCCTGGATATGTCACTGTGCAGTAATACGCGACCTTTAATATAGAATCGGATATCGGTGCTACAGGTGGTGTCAGTTGGCAAAAAGCCAACCAAGCCTTTTGTATCTGTGCAGGAGTTTCACCAGCCACTGAGCCCCCAAAGCAGGGCTGATCCTACTTCACTTCCCAGGTAAGTGAAGTGGTCGATACACTCAACCACTACACTCTTTATTTTAGAAGTAGTATTCATAATGGACTGACGTCAGTTGGGGAACCATTGAAAATCTGGGAGCACTGGACAGCTGTTTCGTCCAACTAGTATGGGACTCCTCAGCAGTACGCATCTGAAGGTCCTGAGTTCGACCCCTAGCCGGGTCGTGGGTGCGTAGTGCTGAGGAGTCTCACACTAGTTGGACGAAACAGCTATCCAGTGCTCCCAGATTTTCAATGGTTCCCCAACTGATGTCAGTCCATGATGAATACTACTTCTAAATTAAAAATCCTCACTCATCTCAAAAATACAACACTTTATTGTCACCTCCTGTACCAAAACTTGAATATTAACCTGAAAACTTAATTTCAGATTCATATTCTTAAGGGGAAGGATTAGCCTAGGAACACCGAAATATAGAGGAAATTGTTTACTTTGTTATTTCGTCTGATTTCCAACGCCGGGATTACACAGGTAAAATCACAACTTATACGATGAATACTGTCCAATTTACTGGGCTGGATGACGATATAGTTTAGTGGTAATCTTTAAGGGAAGCTGTGACATAGGTTTAACAGACAAAGAGTATTTGTATGCAAAACATTTCACCTTCACTAAGTGACATTCGCGCTTAACGAACACATCAGCTTCAATATCATTTCAAAAGGCATTGGGTTAAAAAAAAAACTCGGCAGAAAGCTTTCACACTGAGTAGGCAATTTAACAATACAACTCATTTCATACTAACCTAAGCAGCACATTCACATCTTTAATTAATCTATCGACTCGTTTTACAATTACAATGAGCTATCCTGATATGCGAAAGGATTCAAAACTAGGGAAGTCAGTATTCCTAATATGCAGGCTCAACATCGAAGATCTGCTACAGCAGGCGTACTCATACTCCGTACATATTTCGAGATATTTTTAGTGTCACCAAAGGTTGTTAATAAGTTGAATAAAAACCCCATAGTTTATTCACTTGTCGCCAATGCACCAGTGCATGAAGTCTCTAACTGTTAGTTTGAGCCATGTGAGGCGACGCAGACTAGGTGATTGCGGTCCGCGGGACAAGAGGAACCAATGGCTGGAAACTCTAGATGATATGGATGTGAAGTGATGTCAGTGGCGCAGACGTATCCCCACACACATTATCATCCTCATCTTAACACTATACCGAATCTCATCATTTTCTCATTCTTCCTTTCTTTCTTCTCGTGCTTTATAGTTCTTTTGATTGAATTTTCTTCTCCTCATGTTGCAATTCACTGCCTTTTTACTTGATGTACTGATATGAGGTGTAGCGGCAACTTGGACTGTTACGCAGTAATGCCTAGTCCTATATTGATATGGATGATGATAATTGGTAAGTTGGATCAACTCTGATGGATTAGACACTGACAAAATCTTCGGTCTTTCAACCCCAATACATATTTCAACACGTCCATCGTGTCTTCTCCACTAATTAGTCAGGTCAGCAATCCATTAGGAATTTGTTCAACGTAGGTCGCTGACACTCGATATCTGTACATCCTTAGTGATCATAGCGGCATAGCATAGACAGTTCTCAAATTATAACATAAATTCAGTTGTAGATGTAATCCAGTTTAGAAATGAACTGGAGAGTGATGAAGGATTGATGTCGTCTCTTAGTCTGGTCACTTCCAACCTTTCTCTACCTGACTCACATTTCAGGTAACATAGCATGCCATTGCCTTCGTAGTATAAACCATGGTATGTCGTGGTGTCACCATCTGAGTAACTCAGAAGTCAGGTGTAGACTTTTAGGAAGTAGAGGTAAATCAGTTGACGACAAGGTTATGAACCTTCATCGACTGAGATGGTTGGGACACGTACTACTTATGCATAGTCACCGATTGCCTCGTCACACAATGTTGGACGAAGTAGGTCGAGGCTGGAAAAAGGCTAGAGGTGGCCAGACTAAAACATGACATCAATATATGAAGCCATGTGGGGCGATGTAGACTAGGCGGTTGGGGTCCGTGTTACAAGGAAAACGAGTGGTTGAAGACTGTAGGTGATCACATGGTTGAGAACCGATATCAGTGGTGCAGATGTATCCCCACACACATTATCATCCTCATCTTAAAGACGCTATATACAATCTCACCATTTTCTCATTCTTCCTTTCTCTCTCTCCTTGAATGCTTTACATTCCTTTTGACTGAGTTTCTTTTCTTCATCTTGCACTTGACTGACTTTTTACTTGATGTACTACTGATATGAGGTGTGTTGGGAAATCGGACCGTTACGCAGTAATGCCCGGTCGTATGTTGGTTGGTTCACTCATCGCAAATAAACCCGAAAACTAAAGCCAGTCTAATCCTGCCTTCATTATCATTATGACCGTTAAATATATATGGTGAAACAACAACCCATAGAAATTATAAGTGATATTTTGACAAATCTCAGTGTGTTTGAAATATGCAATTCCGACATTTCGCACCGAAGTCTGGTCCAAGCTTCTTCAAGGAGATCATCAAAAGGTATATATATATGACGTCAACTGTTTACTCAGCTGCCAATACTTGCCAGCCCATCTGGGCAAATCTTGACCAAGATTCATATAAGCCCCTAGGAGCCTTAACATAAGAACATAAAACTTTGGCACTGTGGTAGAGTATAATTCTAGATTGGATTGTTAATATAATTTAGAGGAGAACTCGTCTACTGTTGATCTCAATACCCTACTGACCCATAACCACACAACAGAGTAGGTGGGAAAAGATGATGCCTGTATAGTCCAGTATAGCACTTGGTATAGGGAGAGATTGATTACATAATCATTGTTCATTGAATAAACAATAAAAAAATTTACTACCATTAAAATAAATGAATGAATTGCTGGATTATAATAAAGTGAGTTTGAGAAGTTTGTAAGGGTCTAAATGATTTCGAGTTGGTAATCATAATGAACTGAGATCAGTTATAGTCATCACCGATGAAACAAAAACTAGTCACCGTGAGAATAAATACTCAACGATAAAATTAAGTGATCTTTGCACTATATTGTCAACCAACAGAAATAGGAAACATGGATCAGTGGATTTCAACCCAGTGGCTAGTTCAATGGCAACGTGTTCATCACGGAATATGAAGATCTTTAGTTCAATCGCTGAATAGAGATGGAATTATGCAACTTCAATGAAGTCAGTCATTTTGAATCATCAATATACATCAACCTTTATTCTTTTCTTAAGTATTGAAATATGCGAAACAAAAGTAGTTCTACAGGTCGACATATGTACTGAACTACAGATATCTAAACACTTCAGTTATATTTTACACAATATATGTATGGTTTGAAATTAATACACAAATATTAATCTGGCAACTGATGGGCATTTATACTGATCAAACAAATGTCTTCTGAAAATTCAAGTATTCATGTTACATGATAAAGTTGATTTCTATCTCTAACATCTTAGTATGCATTGGCGTAATCAATATTTTCATGTATTTCACCAATATTTTTTACGATTCTACCCTCTCTCTCTCTCTCTCTCTCTCTTTATTGACAGTCATTTAACATATAATACAGTTTATATTATTAGGCCTTTGGGTTCCTAGTGGAACATATAAAGCTTCAATAGCACGTCGCCATTCCACTCTCTTCTCTCAAGTCTTCTCAACCTAGCTCCACTACTGCCCATAACCTTCCATTTCTTTCTCACATGATCTCCTCCATGTCAATCTCATCTCCGACGCCCAACTCCGCCTTTCCCATTTGAATTCCACTCCACGGCCTGGTCTGACGCATGATGTTCCCAAATCGTCTTCTCACTCCATGTCTATGGTTTGAAATTAATACACAAATATTAATCTGGCAACTGATGGGCATTTATACTGATCAAACAAATGTCTTCTGAAAATTCAAGTATTCATGTTACATGATAAAGTTGATTTCTATCTCTAACATCTTAGTATGCATTGGCGTAATCAATATTTTCATGTATTTCACCAATATTTTTTACGATTCTACCCTCTCTCTCTCTCTCTCTTTATTGACAGTCATTTAACATATAATACAGTTTATATTATTAGGCCTTTGGGTTCCTAGTGGAACATATAAAGCTTCAATAGCACGTCGCCATTCCACCCTCTTCTCTCAAGTCTTCTCAACCTAGCTCCACTACTGCCCATAACCTTCCATTTCTTTCTCACATGATCTCCTCCATGTCAACCTCATCTCCGACGCCCAACTCCGCCTTTCCCATTTGAATTCCACTCCACGGCCTGGTCTGACGCATGATGTTCCCAAATCGTCTTCTCACTCCATGTCTAATCTATTTGTATCTCCACTCTCTCTTTCATTGCATATATATGTTAGGAGATAGGTTCTTACTTCATTATTTCGTTGACAGGCCAGAGTTACTTCTTGCTTATTCTTTCTGGCCATCTGTGCTTCAGTATGGAGCGTAGGCAGCAGTTGTTGATGAATGTCTGCAGTTTGTTCCAAATACTTTTCGTAACACTCCAACTCTCTCAACCATCACATACAAGCACTGGCTTACTTCACTGAATTAGTCTTGAACATCCGGATATTGTTCACAGTTTATGCTCATTGCAGTGTAGTAGATCTGCTCACTGATCTCCACAGATTGATGAACAAAGGCCTGTCTTGCTGACTTCCACATGCTCATCTGTGCCGCCGCCACCACCTGTAGTTGAAATGATGTTGCTTAGTTAGGTAGGTGGGTAGGTAGGTAGGTAGGTAGGTAGGTAGGTAGGTAGGTAGGTAGGTAGGTAGGTAGGTAGGTAGGTAGGTAGGTAGGTAGGTAGGTAGGTAGGTAGGTAGGTAGGTAGGTAGGTAGGTAGGTAGGTAGGTAGGTAGGTAGGTAGGTAGGTAGGTAGGTAGGTAGGTAGGTAGGTAGGTAGGTAGGTAGGTAGGTAGGTAGGTAGGTAGGTAGGTAGGTAGGTAGGTAGGTAGGTAGGTAGGTAGGTAGGTAGGTAGGTAGGTAGGTAGGTAGGTAGGTAGGTAGGTGAAATAGACAACCTCCTTTACATTTCTCCCATTCATAGTGATTGGCGCTTGTTGTTGCTGTTGTTCGGGTGTCTTCGTCACTTCTGTCTCCTTCCCTACGTTCACCTGAAGGAAATCTCATCTTCGCTGCCCTGCTTCTTATATAAACTTGTTAGCTTTCACCTGTACATCTTTGAGCTTATGGGACATATGACATCAGACAAAAATCATCATCGTTGGCGAAATCCAAATCTTCTAGTATCTTTTCATCGTTTAAACAGCATATGCTCATCTTCTCGTTCTGACAACAAACAGTCTACTTAAAATCATATTTAAAAGCTATGCAATTGTTTAATGATGATTTTTTTTTTAAACAAATATATATATACTTCAACTGAAAAGAAAATACTAACCCAGGTAATTGAGTGAAAGCATTGAATCCTGCTTTTGATGCTACCAGTCTACGTAATGCATGAAATTGAGCTTCAATACAAATTAATTCATTATTAGCATTAGTAGTGATTAGTGTCATAGATGCATTTCGATCATTTATAATATTTTCTGATGGTTTACGTTTTGGTAGACTAACCATATCAATTAAGCGTGTTTCTTGTGTAAGAATTGTTGTCAATGCATCTTTGATTAACTTTTCTTTATTCTCTGCAAAAACACCCTATAATCATATGATAAAACAGAAAACAGTATAAACAACAAGTAAATAAATAAATAAATTAACTAATTATTCAATAAAGAAATAAATGAGTGAATCGATAAATAAATATATAACTGAATAAGTGCATAAATGAATGAACAAAAGAATAAACAAACAAATAAATAGATTTTTCTGAGGAGGTTGTGGAGATTTGGAAATATTTCAAGTTGTTATTCATAGTAGACTGACATCAGTTGGAGGAACAAAGGAAACCTGGGAGCACTGGACAAAGCCTAATGGCCATGAGGACAAATACTCAACGATGACATTGGGTGGCGGTTTGCGCTATATCGTGAGCTAACAGAAGTTGGAAATATGGAGCATTGGACTATGACCCAGTGGCTCAATGGTAACGCGCTGGTCGCGGAACCTGAAGGTCGCGGGTGCGATCCCTGCTGGTGGGGTCGTGGGTGCGCACTGCTGAGGAGTCCCATACTAGTTGGACGAAACAGCTGTCCAGTGCTCCCAGGTTTCCTTTGTTCCTCTCCAACTGATGTCAGTCTTCGATGAATAACAACTTGAAATAAATAGATAAGAAGAGTAAGCAAATGAACAAATAAATGAACAGGCAAATTACCTGACTACTGAATTATTAATTAAGTAAATGGAAAAAAAACCACAAACAAAATATAAAAAATAAAAACAAAATTATTCCTCGCTGGAATCGGATAGACGAAAGGGCGCCGGTTGGTAAAAGCCTTATGGAAGCGAATTGGCTGATGTGTCTTCTCTCGATGAAAGCAAAAGAAGGCATAGAGACAAACGACAGACATTCATCAATAACTGACTACGCTGGCTATTTACTGAAGCTCAGATAGCCAGAAAGAATAAGCAACAAGGAACTCTGGCTGGCTGGCTGGTAACGAACCAACCAACAACCTATCACTCAACAAATATTCAGAAGGAAGTGGAGATGGATTGGACATCCGCTGAGAAGGTAGACTGGGGACATGACGCGTCAGGCACTCGAGTGGAACCCAGATGGGAAACCACGAGTTGAGCATCCCAGCTGAGAGTGACATGGAGATCGTGCGAGAAAGAAATGAGAGCTTGTGGGGTGTCGTGGAGCCAGGTTCAAAAGATTACAGAGAACAGAGTGGGATGGAGACGTGCTACTGAAACTCTACGTTCCACTACGAACCCAAGGTACAAATGATGAATCTTCGTAGCAGTGCTTATGTATGGTGGAATCATCCTGTGAGCAGTGTTGAAGTCAGGTGATGGGTACTGGACAAGCCAAGCAAGTTAGCCGATGAGGTTATGAATATTCATCGATTGAATTGGCTTGGACATGTATTATGCACGCCAAGCCACCACTCACCTCGACGTATCATACTAAGGGAAGCTGGATTAAGTTAAAAGAAGGTTCAGTATGGCCAAACCAAGACCTAGAACCAGTCGATGAAATCTCTAACCGTTGACCCGAGTCATGCGAGGTCCCTGAAACAAAAAAATCAAATGTTGAAGACTGTGAAATGTAACAACTTGAGGTGATTCAGTTCTGATCAAAGTTCTACACGTTGATTTGTCAGTCAATTGTATCTAAATGTAGGCTGACGTATCCGGTTGCAAGCATCCAGCCAATAAGTTTCATTGTATGTATATCTATGCCCTATGTATGGATAACCAAATATATTCACAAAGGAATTGTAAACATATGCATACATCATCCCCCTTCCACCTGACCACACACACACACACACACGGAATGCATTCAACCAGCGAATACAGTTTCAAGCTAACAGAAGTTAAATAAGTGAATTATCATCACAATGAAATACATACATCTTGAGTAACAGCATGCAGTAAACCACTATAAGCAACATTGGCATTGAAACGTTGTACTGCTTCCCAATATGTAACGCCTTCTACAAAGAGAAAGTGAAAAACAAGGACAAGGAATAATATCATAGTCATTAGAAAGTATACATAGTAGATATATCAGTGATAAAAGATTCTAGGATGTTAGTCCTAATTGACTTCCATTTCTTTTTTCAAAACCTAAGCAACATATTTACTGTATTTATACAGTGGCTCAGTTTGCATCATCATTATCAACATACGACTAGGCATTACTGCGTAACGGTCCGACTTCCCACCACACCTCATATCAGCACATCAAGTAAAAGGTAGTGAGGTGAAGGATGAAGATAAGTGAATGCAGTCAAAAGAAATATAAAGTACGAGAAGAAAGGAAAGAGGAGTGACAAAATAGTGAGATTCGGTATAGCGTTGTTAAGATGAGGATAATGTGTGTGTGTATACATCTGCGCCACTGACTTCGGTTCTGAGCCATGTGATCACCTAGGGCTCCAACCACTGGTTCCTCTTGTCCCGTGGACCCCAACCACCTAGTCTGCATCGTCCTACATGGCTTAAACCAACAGTCAGAGACTTCATACATTGGTGCCATGTTTTAGTCTGGCCACCCCGGGCCTTTTTCCAGCCTGAACCCACCTCAGCCGTTAATAATGACTTATCCAAGTCACATAAAACGTTTGTTATTTGATATTTTAACCATACTACAAAGGTTCCAAGGTTAATGATATAATCTGACTAAACTAACTGAACTATCGGTAGCCGGAGCAGGATTACAACTGCCTGTATGAAAGTCAAGCTGCCAGAACAAATAGGATATAGTTACCTCTGAATGCAACACCCAGAAAGTGTTTCCTGAGAAGAACCAAAAATGTCAATATTGTTACCTTGTCTTTGTTGAAAACACGAGTCAAAATAGGTTAGCCTACAAAATATAACATTTCGTATTGTTACCAGTGCACACTGTTTGTACACCTAAACAACACAATTGTACACTTTTGTTCATTTAATACTCTGTGACACACTCCCAACTGACAGTTTTTACCTTGATGTGATGGTCAGGCTCATCTATCACAATGCTCCAAGGTCCAACCCCGTTTGGAACCGTTTTTTTTCTTTAGGATGTTCTACGATTCAAAAAAAGCTCTTGTGGACAGTGATACGACTAAAAGCTGCTACCATCATAGTGGAGATAAGAACGCCGTGATGTCTATTCGTACTGCTTGCAAGATAGGTGACCAGCATCCCACTGGCAAATACCAACTTTCTTGATGGAAAAGTGTGGGGAAAAAAAAGGTTGTTTGAGACAGTAGCACACTTCTTCTGTGAACTTCAAGTCACACCAGTATGTGTTTTTGATAGACAGATTGAAAACAGACAAACTCTTATAAACAACATATGTGACCGGTCTCACATAAATATCTCTTGAGTTCCGCGGTTGTTCATCAATTCCACTAATCTATTTCTTTCTTCTTTCAGTTACCCTCTTAGAAATTAAAACTCACAGTATACCAAACTGTCAGCACATTTCCAGCAGCATACAAAACGCAATCACTTTTATTCACTCCAATAGTCTTAAAGTGTAAAATTTATATCAATCTTTCATAACACAAATATCCTTACTAATAATACAATACAATACACAGTAGCTATAAAGTATTACTAACCTGATGATGATGTTTAAAGTATACAGTAGCATTCTTCATAAACATTATAAAATGTCTAATAACACTACTTTCGATGTCTGATTTCTGGTATTATTTGTTCTCATTCAACAACTATATGAAGACGCCACATGACAAGTAATTCACAATGGGAAGCTCAGTGATGCTTTTGAAGTGAAGACAGGAGTGAAAAAAGGTTTCCTACTATCCCCCATGATATTCCTGATTGTGGTCGACTGGATCATGCAACAAACAGTGAGGAGCGAGAGGGGGGGGATACGCTAAACCGGGGAAAAGAACCTAGAAGATTTGAATTTCGCCAATGATGACTTGTGTCTAGCGGCACACAAACTTGAAGATCTACAGGCGAAAAACTAACAAGTTGACAGAAGAGGCAGGTCAGCGAAAACGGGAGTCCCTTCAACTGGACGCAGAGAAGACTGAGGTGATGATGATATCCAACAACAACAACAACAAGCTCCAATCACCATCAAGGGGAGAAACTTAAGAAAATTAGTCTCTTCCACCTACCTAGGCAGCATCATTTCAACTACAGGCAGCAAAGATGAGGACGTCAAGGCCAGGTTCGGAAAGACAGCAAAACAGGCCTTACTGCAATAACCTGAAACCAGTATGGAGATCTGCACTCAGCATAAAGCGTCAACAATATCCTGATTTTCAACACCAACGTCAAGTCACTGCTCCTATATGGTTCAGAAACTTGGCGCGTTATGAAAGGGATTTCCAATAAACTACAGACATTCATCAACAGCTGCTGCCTACGCCCGTTACTGAAGCTCAGATGCGATGGCCAGAAAGAATAAGCAACGAAGAATTCTGGGAACGAACCAACCAACAACCTATCACTCAACGAATATGCAGGAGAAAAAGGTGGAAATGGATTGGGCATACACTGAGAAAACCATTCGGGGACATCACGCGTCAGGCCAGGCACTCGAGTGGAACCCAGATAGAAAGCGACGAGTCGGACGTCTGAGGGTGACATGGAGGAGATCGTGCGAGGAAGAAATGAGAGCTTGTGGGCTGTTGTGGAGGCAGGTTCAAAAGATTACAGAGAACAGAGTGCTCTGAAGAGGTGCTACTGAAGCCCCATGTTCCAATAGGAACCCAAAGGACAAATAATATATAATAATAATACTTTTATTCACTTAAATGGTCTTAAAATAAAGTGTGAAAATTTATATCAATCTTTGATAACACAAATATCCACACTGATAATGAAAATACAATACACAGTGACGATATAGTATTATTAACTTGATGATGGTGTTTAAAGCATAAATTAACATTGCTTATAAACATTATATGAATATATAATCACACTACTTTCGATATCTGATTTCTACAGTCCTGTCACCATCTGATATTATTTGTTTTAAGTGGTGGTAACATTCTCTATATCTCTGGTGTAGGTGTTATGTCATCATTCCTATTACATGTGTCAGCTGGGTATTGATTCGATGGACAAAAATTCGGTAATCATTACACACACTCTCTCTCTCTTCACCTAATTATATTGAGTATATATTAAGTACAATGGGTTTTATCCCACCCTATTGTGTCACTGCACTGAAATAGCTCAGTTACTTTCTACATTATCAATCATATTCGGGTCTGTCATTCTATATTCAGCTAATCTAACTGACTCCGATCAGCTAGTTTCACCTATATATACTTGATCTGACTCACAGTCATTACATATAATGCGATAGATTAGGTTGTTTTACTCAATTGATTCTGTCAGAAGACAAAGGTGGTTAGCTCTGAGTGGCTTTGTAAGTTTACATGCCACTCCCAATTCCAGATTTGTTGAGAATTCTAGGTAAACTTTGTGATGTACCTTCCTTGTATGGTAACACAATGGAGACTGTCAACTCCTTCCTACTTGTGTTGTCGTTATTATTCATACTCGTGTTACTGTGATCTTTTCGTCTCTTGTGTGTTTGTATGAATTTCTTAATAAACTGTAGAGGATAATTATTAACTATTGGCGCCTCTTTTATGTGTTTCAGTTCTTTGTTAAGATCATTGTATACTGACTAATGAGTTTCCTAGCTCTATCATCTTGACATTTGACTAGACATGTCTTCACTGACTGACACTGGATGAGATGACTTGAAGTCTAGGTGCCTGTTGAAATGTGTTGGTTTTCTGTAGACGGTAACATCCAAACCACCGTCTGTACTTCGTTTCATCTTGCAATCCAACATAGGTAATTCTCCTTGTTCATTTTCTACCTACTCATAAGTGAATTGGATTGCATCTACTACTGAATTTATTACTATGAGGAAATTGTTGATGTGTTCCGATTTCAACACAATGAATGTGTCATCCACATATCGCGGATATATGAGGTAGAAAATGAACAAGGAGAATTACCTAGATTGGATTGCAAGATGAAACGAAGTACAGACAGTGGTTTGGATGTTACTGTCTACAGAAAACCGACACATTTCAACAGGCACCTAGACTTCAAGTCATCTCATCCAGTGTCAGTCAGTGAAGACATATCTAGTCAAATGTCAAGATGATAGAGCTAGGAAACTCATTAGCCAGTATACAATGATCTTAACAAAGAACTGGAACACATAAAAGAAGCGCCAATAGGTAATAATTATCCTCTACAGTTTATTAAGAAATTCATACGAACACACAAGAGACGAAAAGATCACAGTAACACGAGTATGAATAATAACGACAACACAAGTAGGAAGGAGTTGACAGTCTCCATTGTGTTACCATACAAGGAATGTACATCACAAAGTTTACCTAGGATCCTCAACAAATGTGGAATTGGGAGTGGCATATAAACTTACAAAGCCACTCAGAGCTAACCACCTTTGTCTTCTCACAGAATCAATTGAGTAAAACAACCTAATCTATCACATTTGATGTAATGACTGTGAGTCAGATCAAGTATATATAGGTGAAACTAGCTGATCGGAGTCAGTTAGATTAGCTGAATATAGAATGACAGACCCGAATATGATTGATAATGTAGAAAGTAACTCAGCTATTTCAGTGCAGTGACACAATAGGGTGGGATAAAACGCATTGTACTTAAGTTCAATATAATTAGGTGAAGACAGAGAGAGAGAGAGAGAGTAACGACTACTGAATCTTTGTTCATCGTATCAACACCCAGTCGACACGAAACGTTATCATCAAGTGAATAATCCTGTATCACTGAGCACTTTATAGCAAACAATCAAATCTAATATGAAAGTAAATTTTATCACAGTGTCCACGTTTTACACCATTTCTCTGTTTAACTAGTATTATAGATAGAGAATAAAATAACTTGTACAAGTTATATACAAACTGAATAGTATACCTGGACGTTGACGTAAAAGTCGTAGATGTACAGATTCTATCTCTTCACTTGCAGAATTGATTAAAGGAATGAAACGTAAACCTCGATCAGAAAATCCACTACAAACACAAACATCACGATTACCACTAGCTCGTACACCATCCAACAATGAAGCTAATAAAGCATCTCTTAAATGAAACAGAAAAAAAAAACAGAAGGAAAACTTTGAAAAATGAGAGAAATTAAATGAAGTGTTAAATGGTAATTGAAAAACTCTTAATAAATAGTAGTCAGTTTTGAGATGATGTTCAACAAACCAGAACATGAGGAGAGTTACTCAACGACGGATGGAGGTCGCGCTATATCGTGAATTGGCAGCAGTTGGAAATATGGACCTTTATTTTCCAACCCCAGTGGCCCAACGAAACCTGAAGGTCCAAGTTATGCACTGCTGAGGAGTGCCATATTAGAACGAAACACCTGTCCAGTGCTCCCAGGTCTATTTCTAATCCTCTTCCAACTGATGTCAGTCTATGATAAATACCTGTCTAAATTCAATAAATAAATCTCTACAAACCTCCAGATATAATTAATGTAGCGCTCATTGGTGACTAGCTTTGAGAGGTGATTCCCGAAGTTCCAATGAGAAATCGTTACTAGTCGAGTTAACCAAGTTGAACATGAAGACGGTCACTCAACAACAACAGAATGGGATATAGGTTGTGTTATATCGTGAACTGACAAAAGTAGGAGCTGTGGACTACTTCATACCGAAGCTTCACGATTAAACAACTCAGCTTAGAGAACACAATACAACCAAGACTATCCACCTGAGCTACAAATATTCTCCATTATTTCAAAATTATACAAGCGTGACACGCTTCACGTTGTTCGAAGACGAGAAGACTTCTCCAAAAGGTAAGCTTCCAAAATACAACAACTATTCTTTCTCCATGAGTACTACTGGTATAACGTGTTGGTTGAGGAAACTGAAGGTCCTGTGTTCGATCAAGGGCAGGGCGGGGGTGGGGGGGACGTGTGTGCACACTTCTGAGGAGTCTCATATTAGAACAAAATAGCTGTCCAGTACTACTCAGTTTTCAATGCTCCTCCGACTGATGTCAGTTCATGATGAATACCAACGTGAAATAGTAATCAATTGTGCAGATGTAAATATCTGAAGAGTGTATCATTGAACCTCTTATCATGCATTTCAGATATTATAGAACACCGATTGACCATCTACAATTGGATAGAAAGTGGCTGAACAAACCCTAACGAATTGTACAACTCATGATTACAGATTCATACATCATCGGATCCTGAAGTATCAACTTATGTTCGACAACTGAAAGAGAAAACTAGAAACGATACTAACAGGACACAGGACTTGAGAACAGAAATTGAGAAGATGAATAGTGGCTAGCAGTGGATTCCAGGATGCGCATTTCGTCCTATTTGGGACTCGTAAGCTGGATTCCACTGCTAGCTACTATCTATCTTTACTATAACTAGAACACAGGCGATATAGAGGCATCCACACAGGAGCCTATACCAACAGAGACCGATCAATTTAGTCTAATCAACGACGGTATAATACAAGCAATAACACTAAAAATATACCCATCGCACAAAAAGTGGCTATTGTGGCTCGGTGGTGTACTGGATAATGCTCTGGCATTTGAAGCGATCGCTACCAAGTCCGAATCCCGATGGGAACAATATCACTCAGCACTGGGAGGCAGGTACATCGCGCTGACGTGTCCCAGATACGACGAAATGCGCATCCTAGATTCCACTGCTAGCCACTATCCATCTTTACTATAACTAGAACGTAGACGATATAGAGGCATCCACACAGGAGCCTATATGCCAACAGAGACCGATCAATTCAGTCTAATCAACGACGGTACAATACAAGTAATAACACTAGGCGAAATATAGAACAAAGAAAGGACATTCCTTTTCTTTTAATGTTGAACAAACTTTAAAAAAGTACCTAGAACAAATGAAAATGGAACAACTTCAGTTTCACAAAGTACTAGATTACAGTATAAAAGGTCTTAAAACCAAAACTATTCAGTTGCATTAGACTTGTTGTTCAAAAAGAAATAAGGTAAATAATCGTAATACGGACCTGATAGAAGAAAGATTACACTCAATCGACAATTCAGAAAGGGAAAGCATCAAAAAAGACTGGGAAATCAAAATGAAAACAGTGTTATTCTCTCAATAGCTACAGGATGCAACACTTTAGTTATGTATAAGGGAAGACTACACTAAGAAGACTAAAGAATTTTTTTTAAACGACAATCCACTCTAGATTAATTCAATTCAAAAGTTCGACTAACAGGTCACTAAGACTTTAAACAAAGTCATCAAAGCAGGAAAAATGGCTAAAGAAGGTTGAAATAAACCATCTTGAAAACACTGTGTGGAGGTAGTTGACTTTCAGCCAATGGGTTATGGGTTCGAACCCTGTCCAATTTACCAAGGTTTGCTAACAAGGTAGTATTACTAAACCCCAACACAATAAATGTGGCTCAATGGCTACTGGAGGAAAGTGCACATTTCCGTTGTTGGGTACAATGAAAATCCTCACAAAACAAAAATGTTGATTAGTAGGGGAGACAATAAAACATCCCTTAAATTGTTTCCTGAGGAGTAAGAAGATGGGCGTATGCTATTCGACCAAAGAAAAGACTCTAGAACATTTGAATTTCGCCTATCACGATTTACCAATGAGGCCTAATGTCACACAAAGTCGAGGATGTACAGATGAAAACTAACAAGTTGATAGAACAGGCAGGGCAGCGAAGACGACACTTCATTCAGGTGAACGTAGAGGAGAAGGCGACAGAGATGATGAAGATACCCAAACAACCAACAACAACAAGCACCAATTACCATCAACGAGAAAAATGTAAAGCAAGTTGCCTCTTTCACTTACCTACCTACCTACGTAACTAGGCAGCATCATTTCAACTACAGGTGGTGGTGGCGGCACAGATGAGCAAGTGGAAGCCAGGATCGGAAAGACAGCAAGACAGGCCTTTGTTCATAAATCTGTGGAGATCAATGTGAAGATCTGCTGCACTGCACTCAGCATAAAGTGTGAACAATATCCGGATTTTCAAGACTAATTCAGTGAAGTCAGTGCTTGTATGTGATGGTTGAGAGAGTTGGAGTGTTAGGAAAAATGTTTGGAACAAACTGCAGACATTCATCAACAGCTGCTGCCTAAGCTCTATACTGAAGCACAGATGCCCAGAAAGAATAAGCAAGAAGTAACTCTGGTCTGTCAACGAACCAACCAACCAAGAACCTATCACACAACAAATACGCAGAAGAAAGTGAAGATGGAGATGGATTGGGCATACACTGAGAAAACTATTCGGGGACATCATGCGTCAGGCCAGGCCATCGAGTGGAACCCAGATGTGAAACAATGAGTTGGGCGTCGTAGGTGGGGATGACGTGAAGGAGATGGTGTGAAGAAGAAATGAAAGGTTATGGGCAGTGGTGGAGCCCGGTTGAGAAGACTTGACAGAAGAGAGTAAAATGGCGATGTGCTATGTGAAGCCGGATGTTCCACTAGGAACTGTTTCCAGTGTCAATGTATTAGAACAAAAACAGAATGTAAGTACACACTAAGAAGACTATGGTTTCTATAGAAAAACAGAATGAAATTCTATTAATGCTAGCTCACCGCCTACTAAAACCACTCATTTTGAAGAGAGGGAAAAAGAATCATCAATTGGTTGTATTGTGTTCTCTGAGGAGCTGGGTTGTTTAGTCGTGAAGCTTTCATCGCCTTGCTAGACAGTGACATTATCAGCACTAGCTACAGTTACTTAGTTAGTTTTTTTCCTACTTTGGCTTCCTGTTTTTATTCCCTATTACCATCCATTGTTAGTATAAAAACTATCATAAAAGTGCGCGCGCGCTCGAGAGTGATAAACAATGAAATAATTTATTATTATTATTATGTCTCTCGGGTTCCTAATGGAACATAGGGCTTTACTAGCACGTCTCCGGTGAACTCTGTTCTCTGAAATCTTTTCAACCTGGCTCCATGACAGCCCACAAGCTCTCATTTCCTCCTCGCACGATCTCCTCCATGTCACCCTCAGACGTCCGACTCGTCGCTTCCTATCTGGGTTCCACTCGAGAAACCGGCCTGATGCGTGATGTCCCCAGTCGGCCTTCTCAGTGTATGCCAGACCCAATCCATCTCCACTTCCTTCCACTGCATATTTGTTGGGTGATAGGTTCTTGGTTGGTTCGTTCCCAGAGCTCCTTGTTGCTTATTCTTTCTCACCATCTCATCTGATCTTCAGTAGCGAGCCAGCGTAAGCAGTTGTTGATGAATGTCTGTAGTTTATTGGAAATCCCTTTCGTGACGCGCCAAGTCTCTCAACCATACAGAAGCACTGACTTGACGTTGGTGTTGAAAATCCGTATCTTGTTCCGCATGCTGAGTGCAGAAGATCTCCACACTGGTTTCAGGCTAATGAACGCCTGTCTTGCTCTCTTTCCGATTCTGACTTTGACATCCTCGTCTGTGCCACCTGTAGTTGAATCAGTGCTTCCTAGATAGGTGAAGGAGGTTACTTCATTTAAGTTTCTCCCGTTGATGGTGATTGGAGTTTGTTGTTGTTGTTGATGGTGGTGGTGTGGTATCTTCATCACTTCTGCCTTCTCTATATTCACCTGAAGTCCCGTCTTCGCTGCCTCAATGAAATAATTAGATTATATATATATATATATATATATATATATATATATATATATATATATATATATATATATATATATAGTTTACCTGTCAGTAGAATAGTATGTGGCAATCGGTCCACGAACATATTCAATCGAAAATTTCTGTGGCTGGAAACGATCTCGAACAAGCAGATTCACCTGAAACACACAAAAGTGAATAAAAAGATTTTCTGGAGAAAAAAAATGTGAAGGACACTCTGTCCGCACCCACCTACTTGCCTACCAACAACAACAACAAAAATAAGGATAAGCATTGATGCTAATGGTGGATAGTGGTTAGCAGTGGAATTGACAATGCGTGTTTCGTCCTGTTTGTGATTCGTCAGCTGTATGTACCTCCCTCCCAGTAACAACATTAAAACAATACCCGTCACATAAGAAGTGGCTATTGTGGTCTAATGGATAACGCTCTGGCATTCCAAGTGATCGGTCCCAAGTTCGAATCCTGGTAGGAACAATATCACTCACGGGGAGGCTGATATATCCAGTGTATGAAACTCCTGTCCTAGATTCTACTGGTAACTAAGATCCATCATTAATTCAAGCAACAACAATAATCATTGATGATTGCATCAACTTGGTGACACTGAAATACATTCAAATAACTCAACAAAACAACTCCAAAGTAACCAAAGATATTGATTAAGTCTCACTAAAAAGACCAAAAGATATTTCAGTAAACAAAAAAAGGTCTTCTGTTTAATAAAAACTGTACAAATGTATTCAAAAGAGTATAGGAAATGTTTTGTATCGATATCTTAAAGAGGACTAGAATACCTGAAATGCTTTCAAAGTAATCACGGTAAACTGAACATTCGTGAAAAACCATATGAACCTACTTATGAAATTCAGATTGATTAGATATCTTTCAAAAGAAAGTAAATGTATATAATTTAAGGATAGTATTCATCATGGATCGATATCAATTGGAGAACCATTGAGAATATTGGACAGCCTATTTCTTCTTAGTATGAGTATTTTCAGGAGAATCAACGCACTACTCGGATAGAGAACTAACTCCAGACCTTCAGTTTCGCGGCGAACGGAATTCAATGCTTCACAATTTCTCTTACTTCTTCCAATTTGTAATACAGTCCGACTAAAGTGCTCATTACTGACATGCTTCAAGATGGATATCCTAAGGTTTCTAATAAGAAGTCGTGGTTTGTGAGGTCAACCAGTTGGAAGTGAAGCAGATACCAACTTAAGACTCTGGTGGATAGTCGCGCTTTAATACAAATTTACAGATGTAGAAAGAGGTGGATCATTGAACTCTGAACGAGTGAGTGAATGGTTAACGCATCCACCACCCAACTTGAAGTCGTTGAATTTTATCCCTGACGCGATTGTGAGTGCGTACTGCTGAGGAGCTGTAGGGTATTAGTTCAAGGAGATGAATTTCAACCGATAGGTTGCGGGTTCAAGCCCCGCTCCACCTATCAAGGTTTAGACAGTCGAGGAGTATCACTAGTTTTCACACAATAACTGTGGCCCATTGGCTACTACACGAATATCCACAAGGTTGTTAAGGGTATTTCGATTTCCATTCTATTCCTGGCTGGGCGACGTCACTGGTGCATACTTCAGAAGACGAAACAACTTTCCAATACTCGCAGATTCTCATACACCTAAACGTACACATATATACATATATCACATATATTAAGAGAAAAACAGAGTGGGGATACGTTATTATCAGAATGTTAATTAGTGGTATAAACCATTGATACTAAAGACAAAAAGAAACTATATGGTATTGAATGATGTAATAAAAGCGACTAGGAATGTAGTGACTTTGACAAGATAAGATTTGTTTCTAAAAGTTACTTGTCCGCCTAACAACGTCTTCTTTACACACAACATTCAAGGTTGAATTGATATATTGCCAGAGCTCTTATCATGCACAAGCTATGAAGCGGTATTCATCTTTGTGAAGAAAGGATATGACAAATATAATCGACGTGAAATTACCACCTACATAAGTATTCAACTGTTTATAAATTTACACTGACGCTTTTACAGCCGAATGTGGGATAATGTTCAAAGATACGTTGGGATGGTGGACGCTTCGTTATCATCATCAATATCAACATAGGACCAGGCATTACCGTGTAACAGTCGGACTTCCCATCACATCTCATATCAGTAGTACATCAAGTAAAAAGGCAGTCAAGTGGAAGATGAAAATTAAGTCAAAAGAAATATAAAGAGAGAAACGAAGAATGAGAAGATGGTGAGATTCGGTATAGCGTCGTTAAGATGAGGATGATAATGTGTGTGATGATACATCTGCACCACTGACATCAGTTCTCAGCCACTTGATCACATAGAGTCAGTCTCCAACCACTCGTTTCTCTTCTACCACAGACACCAACCACCCAGTCTGCATCCCCCCCACCCCACCACATGACTAAAACTAACAGTCGAATACTTTATGCAGTCATGCCATGTTTCAGTCTGGCCACGTCAGCCCTTTCACCAGACTGATTCTACTTCGTCCAACATTGTGTGATGAGGCAATCGGTGACTAGGCACACGTAACACATGTCCATGCCAACCATCTCAGTCCTCGTCAACTGATCTACCTTTTTTTCCTAAAACTCCACACCTGACTTCTGCGTTACTCACGTGGTGACATCACGACACACCTTAGCCTATACTACGAAGGCAACGGTGGTCAAACACCGCAAGCCGTCTCATGTCTTCCACCCTCAGTGGCCATGTTTCACAGCCATACAGTAAAACAGACTGGACTTTTGTGCAGTACACACCACCCTCAGTAAACAATTGGATATCACAGTGGCGCCACATGTCATCATCATTATCAACATAGGACCAGGCATTACTGCGTAACGGTCCGAGTTACCACACCTCATATCAGCACATCAAGTAAAAAGGTAGTGAGGTGAAGGATGAAGATAAGTGAATGCAGTCAAAAGAAATATAAAGTACGAGAAGAAAGGAAAGAGGAGTGACAAAATAGTGAGATTCGGTATAGCGTTGTTAAGATGAGGATAATGTGTGTATACATCTGCGCCACTGACTTCGATTCTGAGCCATATCACCTAGGGTCTGCAACCACTGGTTCCTCTTGTCCCGTGGACCCCAACCACCTAGTCTGCATCGTCCTACATGGCTTAAACCAACAGTCAGAGACTTCATACATTGGTGCCATGTTTTAGTCTGGCCACCTCGAGCCTTTTTCCAGCCTGGACCCACCTCAGCCAACATTGTGTGACGAGGCAGACGGTGACTAGGCATACGCAGTACGTGTCCCAACCATCTCAGTAGATGAAGGTTCACAACCGTGTCAACTGACTTACCTCTTCTCCTCAAAACTCTACACCTAACTTCTGCATTACTCACATGGTGACACCACGGAGACACCACATGTAGAGTAAGTTGGCAAAAGCCAGTAGAGCCTTTTTTTATCCGTGTAGAGATTTCATGGTTATCTAACAACAACAACAAAGAGGGAGAATCTATGACAGTATCGATAACTTACTTCACAAAGTGGATGTGCTGAAACAGGTCGATAACTAATTGGATCTCTTTCAAGCAATAAAGTTTCCGTTAAACACATTAAACGAGAAATTGTCATCAGTTGATTAGAGTTTTGATTACGTCTAGACACTTTTTGAACTGTAAATTCAGCTTGAGAAATTAAACTTTCTTGACTGCAAAAAGGTAAATATAGATTAGTGAAAACTTTTACATTACAATATGGTAATATTTACTAATGTAAAGTATTTAAGACAACAACAACAACAACAACAACAACAAAAGGAGTATTCAATGGGAATACAAAATTTTTTTCCAATATTTGATAACAGATAACAGAACACACAATGCATTAATAAATAATCAAGATGAAAGAAAACGAAAATGAAATTCAAAACATCAACTATATACACGTTTGCATAGTAGATCAAGTGGGAATCGAACCCATGATCCATAAGGTTGAAAGTCAAGATGACGCTAACAGGAACAATTAATATCATCATAGGACCAGAGATTATACTGTGCAACCATTCAAGTTGCCGTGCTTCATATCAGTACAAATTACAACAAAATAGTAGGAAGAAAGATGAAGAAAGAAAACGGAATCAGACAGAAGCAGTGGTAAGCAGTAAAAGACAGAAAGGAATAATGAAGAAGTACTAACTTCAGTATAGCGGTTATAAGACGACGATGAATGGTGTATACATCTGCATCACTGACATCGGTTCTGAGCTATGTGATCACCTAGAGTCTCTAAACACTGGTTTCTCTTGTCCCACAAACTACAACCAGTTAGTCTGCATCCCCCCACATGGCTCAAACCAACAGCCTGAAACTAATTCAACTAACATTGTGAGACGACGCAGATGGTAATTAGGCATCTGATTGGGCATGCACTGAGAAGACTATTTGCGGACATCACGCGCCAGGCTGAGCACTCAAGTGGGACCCAGATGGGAAACGGAGAGTTGGGTGTCCGAGGGTGACATGGAGATGGTATGAGGAAGAAACTAGGGCTTCTAGGCAGTCGTGGAGCCATCATCATCATCATCATGAATATCAACATAGGACTAGGCATTACTACGTAACGGTCCGACTTCCCACCACACCTCATATCAGTAGTACATCAAGTAAAAAGTCAGTCAAGTGGAAGATGAAGAAAAGAAAACTCAGTCAAAACGAATATAAAGTACTCAAGGAGAGAGAGAAAGGAAGAATGAGAAAATGGTGAGATTCGTTATAGCGTCGTTAAGATGAGGATGATAATGTGTGTGGCGATACATCTACGCTACTGACATCGGTTGTCAACCATGTGATCACCTACAGTCTCCAACCACTCGTTTCTCTTATCCCACGGACCCCAACCACCCAGTCTGCATCGCCCCACATAGCTCAAACCAACAGTTAAAGACTTCATATATTGATGTCATGTTTTAGTCTGGCCACCTCTAGCCTTTTTCCAGCCTCGACCTACTTCAGTCAACATTGTGTGATGAGGCGTTCGGTGACTATGCATAAGTAGTACGTGTCCCAACCATCTCAGTCGATGAAGGTTCATAACCTTGTCGTCAACTGATTTACCTCTTCTCCCTAAAACTATACCTGACTTCTGCATTACTCACGTGGTGACACTACGGCACACCATGGCCTATTCTATGAAGGCAACGGTGGTCAAACACTTGAAGCCTTCTCATGTCTTCCACCTTAAATGGCCATGTTTCACAGCCATACACTAGAACAGAAATGAGAGCTTCTGGGCAGTTGTGGAGCTAGGTCCACAAGATTGTAGAGAACAGAGGGGAATAGAGACGTGCCACTGAAGCCCTATGTTTCACTAGGAACTCAAGGGACAAATAATAATAATGATAATATTGGAATAATTGTGCGTAATAAACAGTCATGGTCGTAATGTCGGCCGTAGAGATGTGGCTAGAAGGTCTGGGCACCCTGATATCTTTGTAGCGTTCCTCACGTTTGACGGAATCACCATGTGAGCAATATTGAGGTCAAGTGAAGAGCATTAGACAAGTTAGGCAGTTCGATTGATGAGGTTATGAGCCTTAGTCGACTGAGATGGCTTAGGATATATACTACGCATGTCTAGCCACCACCTACCTCTCGATGTACCATGCTAGAAGTTGGATTAGGTTCAGGGTGACGAGACAAAAATATGGTACCAGTGAACGAAGTCCCTGACCGTTGGTCTGAGCCGCGTAAGGAGGCATAGAGTACCTGGTTATGGTGGGGTTCCCGAGATGAAAAGAACTATTAGTTGCAGACTCTTGATGACATGGCTGCAAGTCAGTGACAATAGAGCGGGTGTACTCACTCACTCCTTGATATCTGTCTGTCTAACGTACAGAGGCATGTCAACGGTCTATACTTTTTGGTTGGCCAAACCAGTGTCAGTTATGTTATCCACAGTATGGCAGTCACCAATTTTAATCTTACCACCATCATTCAACAAACCTTTCTGCCATGATAAGACTTCAAAAAACAATCTTTCCGGGCAGCATAGATCCTGAAAGGGGAAAACCTAACCAACACATCAAGGCATCAGTTATCGGTTCAGAAACAGTAGTATGCACAGGGTATAATTAATTACGTAAACGGATAAAGCGACTATTCCATCATACCCACCTTATTTTACCAAGTCTATATTCTGTACAGTAATCTCGTGTTAACGGGTTAGTAGGTTGACCGAATGATATACATAAATTAGTTTGAGCAGATTTACTGATCTCACGAATTAAATTGTCTGGTTCACGTGTAAGGAATATGTGCTACAAAAGGAAAGAGAACAGGAAACATTAACAAAAATATTGTGTGAAAAGACGGTTTGATTTGAAGGTGTGTATTCATCATGGACTGAAATCAGTTGGAGAAATATTGAAAACCTGGGAGTACTGGAGAGGTGTTTCGCCCCATCATAGCACTCCTCAGAAATGTGCATTCATGACTCCGTCACGCATCGAAGCCAGGTCTTCTGGTGAGCACATAACCATTCAACCACAAGGTTTACAGTTTCCTACTTCTATAAATTCGCTGGATTGATAAGGGGTAATGATTGAATGTAAAATGAAAGTCTAGATGACAGTAGGATTCGAACCAGGCAAACCACAAACTGATAATTCGCTGTATAACGCAACTATCATTGAGTACTTCTCGTCATGTTCGACTTAGTTTGTCTCCATCACCGGTTCTGACTTCTTATTAGAACTTCAATAAATCTCATCTCAAAACATATCACTAATGAGGACCATCACAATGTTTTAGTTTGGAGGTTTGTGGGGAGTTCGTTGATTTCAAGGGGAAATATTCATCACGGAGTCCTATACTAGGAGGAAACAACCGCTTTCCGGTGCTCTCATGTTTTCAATGGTTCTCCAATTAGTATCAAGCAGTAATAAATACTGTCCTGAAATCAATCAAATCTCAACTGAACTCTAAACAAGACTTCAGTGACTGAAATAATGGGTGACGCGAGTTCCATTGAAGTTGCAAATACGCCTTCCTCCCAACTGCCTCCAACCAACTAACATCCATCAAAGTGCACTGCAATAGTGAACCTTCTAGCTTGGAGGCCAGATTGCAAAATGGTCGATAAGATTCAACAAGCACTCGGGAGGCTAGATTGGTTGTTTTCCAGTGACCAATCAATGTACAATGTAATTCATCATTTATTAGTATGATTATAACAGCTAGATAGCCGTGGTTTGACATATCCGACAGCTCATAGGTCATATTTCGTATGACCTGCTAGCGTTTTGATTGGCTCCTGTACCTCTTTAAATGTACTAGTCATTCCTTGTCTTTCAAAGTTACTTTAAACTGTATAAATAGGGTCCGTTTTCAGTCCCCAAAGTATTATAAACTCAATTGATTACCAGTTTTTTGATCTCCTTCTGTGAATAAAGCCACCAATTCACCAAAATATATTTCTATATTGTTAGAAAAATCAAGGAAATTCAAGAAAAAGAGAGAGACAAAACTGAGTTCATCATTCAGATATACATACATACATACATGCGCGCAAATACACAAATATTCGCTTACGATATGTCCATATCCGCCGTGCACAATAGCCACTGAATTAGGAATATCATTTATCTGAATAAAGAAATATAACAAAACGAGTAAAGAAAACCATGAAAAAAAAACACAAAGGTAAGTAATAAATAACCCATAGATGAGACTATACCTAACTCTCAATGAATAAGTCATGGGTTCGAGCCCATGACACAACACCTGTCAAGGTTTAAGCAGTCAGACAGTATCGCTGCTTGTCGCATACACAAAGACACCATTCGAGTGAATCATTTTGTTAATCGCAATAACACAACTGAAGTACATACATATCACAATCATCATAGGACCAGGCATAACTGCATAACAATTCAAGTTGCCGTCACGCCTCATATCAGTACATCAAGTAACAAGTGGATGAAATAGAAGATAAATAAATAAAAATCGGTCAACAGAAGTAGAGAGTAATAAAAGAGAAGAAGAAGGGGGGGCGAGAAAATGATGAGATTAAGTATACCGGTTAAGATTATGTGCGTGTATATATCTGCGCTACTGACATCGGTTGTCAGCTACAGTCTCCAACCACTCGTTTCTCTTGTACCACGGACCCCAACCGCCTAGTCTACATCGCCCCACATGGCTCAAACCAACAGTCAAAGACTTTATACATTGATGTCATGTTTTAGTCTGGCCACCTCGAGCCTTTTTCCAGCATGAGCCTACTTCGTCCAACATTGTGTGACGAGGCAGACGGTGACTAGGCATATGTCACACGTGTCCTAGCCATCTCAGTCGATAAAGGTTCACAACAGCATCAACTGTCTGACCTCTCCTTCCCAAAACTTTACACCTGAATTCTGCATTACTCATGTGGTGATACCACAACACAACTTATGCCACGAAAGTACTGACGGTCAAACACCCGAAACCTCATGTTTTCTACCTTTAATAATCACGTTTCACAGTCATAGAGTAGAACAGAGAGGACTGCAACACAATATACTAGATGCCTCATGGACAATCGGATATCGCGGCAGCGGGAGATGGCAAAATCCAACCGAGCCTTTTGTACCCATGCATAGATTTCGTCGGTCACTGACCAAAGCACTAGGACTAATTCGACTTCTCAGGTAAGTGAAGTGTTCAACGCGCTGAACCACTTCACTCCCTACTGTTAGTCGGCGTACCGTTGAAGACTAGTCCTGGAGCAGCAAAACTGCATTTGGGTGGCGAGAAACGCATCCCAATCATTCTCAAACTCACACTCAAGATGTCTAGAAGACACTGCATCTTGTCAGTGTCTTCACCAAATATGACTATGTCATTTGCATATTCTAGGTCTACCAAAACTTATCCAGTGATTAGGTCAATCCCTGTGTAGTCAGATGTCGAGAGAAGACCTCCATAAGAATGTTTATGATAAAATTGATTAGGAATGGAGAGAGTGGATGCCCTTGACAGACACCACTCAACATTTCACCAGAGTCTAACCCGCCCATGGGGGTTCGGGTAAAAACCCTTCAATAAGGTGATGTATTTACTTCGTATACCCTTCAATGGGAGACATTGTCACAAGACTTCTCGATCAACGGATTTGAATGCCTCCTTCAGGTCGAGAAATATAGCTATTGTCCTGCCTCGGTAAGCGTGTCTGCGTTTTAGAACCTGGTGGACTGTGAATATTTGGTTGATACACCCATGGTCAGATCTGAAGCCTACCAGGTCTTCTCGGTTTTGGTGCTCCCGATCTCCACTCAGGCCTCTAATGATTATACGACCTAGAATCTCAGACACTATATTCGTCAGGCTGATTCCTCTGTGATTATCAACGTAGGACTTTTCGCCTTTCTTGAATACTTTAATAGTCAGTGATTGAGAGGGGATAATATTTGACTCCCAAAGAAAGGCGACTTAAACCTTTGCAAGAACTGGCGAGGAATCATGCTCCACGCCTATCCACCCCAAGCAAAATATTATGCCGCATCATCCTGGAGAGACTAAAACGTGCTCTACATTCAAAATTATGACCGGAACAGGCTGGCATGTAATGGTTTTGTAGCCAAATTTTTCCTACGTCCATTGAGACGCAGGTATATACGAGCTCGGAGCAACGCGTGGTTGCTATCCAAACACGTACTCCAGAAGCAGCGACACTCTTCCACCGATCCTCTCCAGTGATGACTAATATCAATGTGGTCTGTCTGTGTCCATCGCTGAGTTGAGCTCGGTGGACGCCAAGTCAGACAGTGTCTTTCTTCACGTCTCAAGTTTGTGATAGACAGAAATAAGCGGTTATCTGAGCACAGTTGTAGTAGGTGATCACCGTTATCTGTTCGTCCAGCCGACACTCCTAAACTGCCACCTAAGTGCTTCTCTGCTTCACTCAGTCTACGTACCTGTGCGTTGAAGTCACCTGCAACAACCACCACGTCCGAACGTTTGGCTTTCGAGAGGAGGTTAGACATTTTACGGTAGAACTCGTCCTTCACTTCATCTAAACTACAGTTAGTGGGTACGTAAGCAGAGATTACAAAGAGATAAAGGAGAGTTTCACTACTCCTTTTAGTTCTCACTGTGCAGTTCAGTCGGATAGCGCAGAGAGGACTATCAACTGGGATCCAGTCTAGTAGTGAGTTTTCTGCCCTAGTTTTTAATGCTATGCCTACATCTGAAAGACCGTGGGAGCTAGCTATCGAATCTCCAGAAACTCGAAGGGTGAATCTCATGGATTCACCAGATTGGCCGGGAAAGGTTAGGTGAATAACCGCACTTGGGTCCTGTCCTACAAACACAATACACACACATCCACGGTCCCAGTTGCTGGAGTTTTGGCCAATGAAACTTGTTGGCCAATTTGACGTAGGGTGCGGACCTTGAAGGCTCCAATGTGTACTTCGGAGCGCAGTTTAAGCACACTATGGATGCTGTTCTGTGGATTCAGATCGTTGTCGAAGACTGCAGAGCTAGGAGAAATTAAAGATGATTTAGTATCGTTAATTTAAAGACGTGAAGGAAGATTAGAAAGTAAAGACGGGGGAGGTGGATAGTAGTTTGAGGGAACTTGAGTGCTGACAGAGTTGTGAGGGTGGTTGACACTTTCCGGTTGCTCACATCATGGAAGGCTATTTCTTCCTAAAGTACGTGAAAGAGGACAGGATCTGTGTGACTGCGTAGCCCATGGGACTAAATAACTGGAATAATCCATAGACAGGCACAGCAGCGCATTCTATTCAACTAATCAACCTTGCATCAAGTAATACACGCAGAAACTAGACAAAAAGAATTAAGATTTTAGAAAACAGGTAACCAGAATATTATGATATTCAGATAGTTATGTAGGCAGTAAAATAGAAATACACCCACCTTGTTAATATATTCAATATCTTTATATGCATAGCTTTTCCATTGTTCTCCCGTACGTGGATCACGTACATCAACTGAGACTGGACCAATATCCAAGATTACTTCATAGGTTGACTCAGACCAACTCACTTTAGTAGCGTGTATTCTCTGATATGTGGTGGTATCGTTTTATAAGGAAAGAAATAAAGTTAGTAGAATTACAATCATCGGTACGCAACTTCCACTTTAGTCTGTTTATTAGAAATATCACTCAGTGAAACAGTAGTGTTGACTGGATAACGTACCCTACGGACACAATTTATTGTCCATATTCATATCAGGTAACCAACTCCACAACTTCGAGACAGACTTTATATATTCCTAATTTTCTCTCCTACTCTGTGATGACAAGGGTAGTAGAGTTTTCCATATATCTCGGACAGATGCAGAATCATTCCTACTACTCCATGTATTTGGTGTTGATTCGATAAACAAAGATTCGGTTATCAATGTCTCCCTTCACCCAACTTAGTTAGTTTTCCACACTATTGCCCTATCCCACCCTACTGTGTGATTGTGTGTCATCGCATGCAGAGCTATAGCCGAGCTTTTCTCTAGATTTCTTATCTTATTACGACCTACTAATCTTGATTTAGGTAAACTTTTGTGTTCTGATATTCTAATCGACCCTGGCTGGTTGACTACTTTGACTCACCTATGTATTTGACCTCACAATCATTGCAAGCGATCTAGTAAACCAGATTCTTTTACTGAATTGCATCGATAGGACCTTTTAACCTACAAAGCTTGTTTCTAAGTGAGTTTCTTGCTTTAAATCCCACTCTAATCCCAGCCAGCTTTATTACGAAGAATTCTCAATACTTCTGAGGTGCCTTCCTTTGTATGGTAACACATCAGAGGTCTTTGAATCCTCTCTTAACCCTGTCACCATTATAACCATTAGTAGTGGAATTATTATTAATAACACCTGTATAACTACTAGTAGTGTAAGTAGACTTCGAATCCTCCCACCCCATTTCAGTTAAAGTAAGCCTAGTTAAACACTTAAGTGATAGAGCGAAAAAGCTTACTGGTAGGTCGGAAAATCTGTGACAAGAAATTGGCCACATCAAGAATACCCTACGTCTCCATAATTACCCCCCAAAATGTATAAATAAATTCATAAGAAATCGAAAGAAAAATATTCACAGTAGTAGTAAGTAGTAATACAGATATTATTAATAATAATCCCACTACTAATGGTTATAGTGGTGACAGGGTTAAGAGAGAATTCAAAGCCTCTGCTGTGCTACCATACGAGGAAGGCACCTCAGAAGCTCTACGAAGAATTCTCAATTTTATGGAGAAGAAGCTTACAGAAGATAACGGTTTCATTTGTCTACTTTGAAAAAGAAGTTGTGACATCTAGATTCATCTCTGACTAGCGGAAATCATCTAAGATCATTTTCACTTCAAGTTATTAGTATAGAAGTGGATTAGTGAGAAATAACCATATAGTCAACTCCAAAGTAGTATGTGGACATAAGTGATAGCCTATCCTTCCCACATTGTCGAACCAGACGACGGCTGGAGAATATCAGTACACACTTCAACAGACGTCTTTTCAACACTTCGGTTGGAATTTTACATTCATAAGTAAATCCATTTTAGTTTGTTTATTAGAAATATCACACAGTGAAACAGTAGCATTTACTGGACCACGGTCGATTAGAATAACAGAGCACAAAAACTTAACTAAATCAAGATAAGTAGATCCTAATAAGATAAGAAATCTAGAGAAAAACTCGGCTGTAGCTCTGCATGCGATGACACACAATCATACAGTAGGGTAGGATAGGGCGACAGTGTTGAAAACTAACTAAGTTGGGTGGAGGGAGAGATTGATAACCGAATCTTTGTTTATCGAATAAACACCAAATACATGGAGTAGTAGGAATGATTCTGCATCTGTCCGAGATATATGGAAAACTCTACTACCCTTGTCATCACAGAGTAGGAGAGAAAATTAGGAATATATAAAGTCTGTCTCGAAGTTGTGAAGTTGGTTACCTGATATGAATATGGACAATAAATTGTGTCCGTAGGGTACGTTATCCAGTCAACACTACTGTTTCACTGAGTGATATTTCTAATAAACAGACTAAAATGGAATTACAATCGACCACAGTACCCAAGTTTAACTCTTATACAACATTTCAATTCATAAACCTAATCATGATGGATCGTGACTAGCAGTGGAATCCAGGATGCGTATTTCGTCCTATTTGGGACTCGTCATTACTACGTAATAGCACAGGTAATATCGAGGCATCCACACAGGATCTCATATGCCAACAGAGACCGATCGATTCGGTCCAATCAACGAGGGTATGATAGAAAAACAATTATATACCATAAACCTAGTCGGCTAATTAACACCAATATGAAATTCTGCCGTTGGTGCGCTCCCGTCCTAGTTGTCACATCTAACATCAATACACCGAAGTACAAGGGCATCGAGATGAAAGATACGAGATACAAGGAAAAGAATGAGGACGAAATGTAGAATGACGATGACGATGAAGATAACTTGGGGGTGATGCGGGGATCTATATTGCCCTACTGAGATCAATTCCTAGCAAGACCAACACTAATTTCAATTGTCAAGCAGTTTAAAAGACTAAAGCTCTTTTATAAATATGAATTGATACAGGATGTAAAGAAAAAACTGTGTATAAACGCACGTAAATTCAAACACTGTCTGCTTCTAGTTTATTCTTTCCGTTTTACTGAAGGGATCATGGTACAATTGTGGTTCATTGGTCTATTTAGTTGCGTGAAGGGTTCAAACACCACTCCACCTACCGAGATTGAATCGGTCACAATACGTGTGTCTCATTATCACCTACTCCACTGACTGTGAATGATAGAATCAATGTGGAACCTCGCAAATAGATAGATCACCTCAAGTTACCACACTTCCCAGCAGTACACAATCAACAGGCGGATAAGTAGATAAAGTTTTGTGAGAGAATAAACAATTTGAAGATAGAGCTTACTGTAAATATTCAGGCTTTAGAAGATGTCAAGGTGTGTCACTGATTTTCAGCCATCTCACTAAAAGGCCTCGATCACTGATTCTTATCGTCTCAGGGAATCCAACACAGCTATGCAGCCTACATCTCTCCCACACGAAATCTCCTAGGATGGTACGTCGAGGTACGCGGTGGCTCAGTATATGCAGTACATTTCCCCGTTATGTCAGTCACCAAATAACTTAGTTTCTTTGCTTCTTACCCTTTGCCTTTCCTCATCATTACTCATACGGTGATTCCACCAGACGCAAGGGACACCACAAAGACACCTGTGATCAAAAACTTGTGACTTTTTCATATCTCCTACTTTTAACAGCCATATCTCACAGTCATTCAATAGGACACAACGTACTGCAGTGGAGTATACTCGCCTTTTAATAGTCAGTCGGATATCTAACCGGTGCTATAGATGACGCAAATGGGCAACTGGCAAATGAGGTTTCTGTATCCGAGTTGACATTTTATCAGACATCAGAGCATTTAGGCTGACGCGATTCCCCAAGTAAGTGAAGCGGCTCATGGATTTAACCACTTCGTAATATTGGTGAAGACAACCAATGAGTGGTTGGTACACACAACCCAGTAAGTACACGATGTCAACTGTAGACAGGCAGAATATATCGACGGTTATGTCTCTTGACATAGATGTAAATAAAACAGATACAAACTCTGGTGTCTTATCCAACTTATAGATAAATCTATTAAATCTGGACTATAAAGCACAAATATCACTGGCAGAACTCGATGCTTTTTTTTAGACCCTAACAAATTCACCTACTGCTGATAGCTAAATACAACACTGGTTAGTAAAATTAGCTACAAGCAAAGTGATTGATCTGTCTAACAGTCAAACGGATTAGATTTTTCATCTCTCAATCTCTTTCTGATCAGTTAGAGATGACTAAATAAGGAGTAGAATAGTTAATGACGACTAAAAGTTGTGGACTGGATCATGCAGCAAACAGTGAAGAGTGAGAAAAGGGGGATACGCTGAACCGAGGAAAAGATCCTAGAAGATTTCGATTTCGCCGATTACGAATTGTGTCTAATGTCACACAAACTTGAAGATGTACAGGTGAAAACTAACAAGTTGACAGAAGAGGCAGAGAAGGTGGGACTCCCTTCAAGTTAATATAGAGAAGACAGAGGTGATGAAGATACCCAACCAACGCCACCGCCAACAACAACAACAAGCTCCAATCACCATCAACGAGAGAAACCTAAAGGAAGTAGCCTCCTTCACCTATCTAGGCAACATCATCCCAACTACAGGCGGCACAGATGAGGATGTCAAAGTCAGGATCGGAAAGAGAGCAAGACAGGCGTCCATTAACCTGAAACCAGTGTGGAGATCTGCACTGCACTCAGCATACAGCGTGAACAAAATCCGGATTTTCAACACCAACGTCAAGTCAGTACTTCTGTATGGCTCAGAAACTTGGCACGTTACGAAAAGCATTTCCAACAAATTACACACATTCATCAACAACTGTCTACAATGGCTCCTTACTGAAGATCAGATGGCCAGAATAATAAGAATAAGCAACAACGAACTCTGGCTGGCTGGCTGGCTGGTAACCAACCAACCAACCAACAACCTATCGCTCAACAAATATGCAGAAGGAAGTGGAGATGGATTGTATTGGGCATACAGTGAGAAGGCCGACTGGGGACATCAAGCGTCAGGCGAGGCACTGGAGTGGAACCCAGATGGGAAACCACGAGTTGGGCGTTTCGGCTGAGGGTGACATGGAGGAGATCATGTGAGGAAGAAATGAGAGCTTCTGGGCTGTCATGTCGCCAGTTTCAAAAGATTGCAGAGAGCAGAGTGGAATGAAGACGTGCTACTGAAACTCTATGTTCCACTAGGAACCCAAGGGAAAAATAATAAAAGTTGTGAGTGAAGCTTACCATATTTGGTTTATTCTCTTTAATGAATCGATCACGAAAATGCTGAAATTGAATGAAATAAACAAATTGTAATTTAGTTTAAATTTTATGGGGATTTTCTTTACTTCATAGTAGTATTCATCATGGACTATCATCATCAGTTGGAGAACATTAAACATCTGTTTCGTCCCAGCATAGGATTCCTCAGCAATACGCGCTCATAATCCCAACCCAACCCATACGCAGAGATCGAAATGAGGAAGATTAAGTCTCGCGATGAACGAGTTAACCATTCAATTAAAGAATTGAAGTTGAATGGTTCACAGTTTTCTACTTCTGAAAAGTACTACGCTACGATGGAACACAGCCGCCCAGTTTTGCCAGGTTTTCAATGATTCTTGACATTACTCGTCACTTTTATTAGATAATTTAGGGTTAATGAAAGCAAATCTTGATCATACTTTCTGGTCAATAAACCAACCACTGAAAGTAAGTGTATGTAATAAACATCACTTTATTTCTATCCTTTAATTCCTAGGCGAAATAGATCCATTGAAACCAGTGATATTCTCCGACAGTAGTTAGTATGAGTGAAAAGCTTGAATCTACTTATGTGCACATTTATGAGCTAGGCAGTGAGCCACATCAATTGTGTAAGAATGTTAACTGACTAAACCTGTATAGGTAAAGTGGGGTTTGAACTCCTGACTCGTTGGTTGAAATTGACAAACTTTAGAGATGTAAAAGCTAACCAGCCTGTTTTCATAGAATCTGAAGACTTCAATGAAATTGAAGGCGTCATACAATGAGGAGATGGGAGAATATCATGAAATCACTGCTTGTATATATGTAAAAATTTTCCAGTTGAAAAATGCAAACCCTAGATACAAAAGACAATAACAATATTGATGAGAACGTAAGTGTTGTAATGCAATTCATCGCGTTAGAGATGTTGAATTACTAGACGATGAGCTTCAGATACTACATGAAGGTTCCACAAAACTAAGATCACCTGAGATTAGGCATTTAGCTTTTATGCAACCAGTCTCTACGCTAATTCATCACTTAATATGAGTCTAGAGAACAAGATCCGGATTTTCAATATCAACGTCAAGTCACTGCTTCTATGTGATGGTTGAGAGACTTGGCGCGTTACGAAAAGCATTTCCAGCAAATTACACACATTCATCAACATCTGTCTACAATGGCTCCTTACTGAAGATCAGATGGCCAGAATAATAAGAATAAGCAACAAGGAACTCTGGCTGGCTGGCTGGCTAGCTAGCTAGCTAGCTAGCTAGCCAGCTGGTAACGAACCAACCAACAACCTATCGATCAACAAATATGTAGAAGGAAGTGGAGATGGATTGTATTGGGCATACAGTGAGAAGGCCGACTGGGGACATCACGCGTCAGGCGAGGCACTGGAGTGGAACCCAGATGGGAAGCGATGAGTTGGGCGTCGTAGCCGAGGGTGAAATGGAAGAGATCGTGTGAGGAAAAAATAAGAGCTTGTGGGCTGTCTTGGCGTCAGGTTGAAAAGATTGCAGAGAAGAGAGTGGGATGGAGACGTGCTACTGAAGCCCTATATTCCGTTAGGAACCCAAGGGACAGGTAATTAAAAATTAATTGATTATTGGCATAAAGTAAATCGCTGGGATTAAGGTAGGTGTGTTTCTTCTCCCACCGACGCATCGTGTTTGGATAGTTTTCGCGTGATATTCCCGCTCAAGTTGAAGAAGCTTGAAATACACGGCTAATTGAAGACAAACAGAGCGAAGAAAAGAACCTAGAAAATTTCGATTTCGCCAATGATAACTTGTGTCTAGCGGCACACAAACTTGAAGATCTACAGGCGAAAAACTAACAAGTTGACAGAAGAGGCAGGTCAGCGAAAACGGGAGTCCCTTCAACTGGACGTAGAGAAAACTGAGGTGATGATGATATCCAACCAACAACAACAACAAGCTCCAATCACCATCAAGGGGAGAAACTTAAGAAAATTAGTCTCTTCCACCTACCTAGGCAGCATCATTTCAACTACAGGCAGCAAAGATGAGGACGTCAAGGCCAAGTTCGGAAAGACAGCAAAACAGGCCTTACTGCAATAACCTGAAACCAGTATGGAGATCTTCTGCACTCAGCATAAAGTGTGAACAATATCCTGATTTTCAACACCAACGTCAAGTCACTGCTTCTATATGGTTCAGAAACTTGGCGCGTTATGAAAGGGATTTCCAACAAACTACAGACATTCATTAACAGCTGCTGTCTACGCCTGTTACTGAAGCTCAGATGCGATGGCCAGAAACAATAAGCAACAAAGAATTCTGGGAACGAACCAACCAACTGCCTATCACTCAACGAATATGCAGGAGAAAAAGGTGGAAATGGATTGAGCATACACTGAAAAAACCATTCGGGGACATCACGTGTCAGGCGAGGCACTCGAGTGGAACCCAGATGGGAAACCACGAGTTGGGCTGTCGTATCGCCAGGTTCAAAAGATTGCAGAGAGCAGAGTGGAATGGAGACGTCCTACTGAAGCCATATGTTCCACTAGGAACCCAAGGTACAAATAATAATAACAATAATAACAGAGGCAGTGATAAATGAGCTCACTCCTGACTAGGAACAAATACTAAGGACCAAGGTATCAATTGTAGAAATGTTTGAGGTATAATCATACTTGATATTTAGAGTTTTCAAGTTTCAAAGGAAAATATACACGTAAATGGAAGGAGTTTCTCTGGTATCACCGATATCCGGAATAGTGGCTGAGAAAAAAAAAAGAAGCTCTTATGACATTGGTCTATGCTCTTAAAACATAGTGGAAATGACACACTTACTGTATTGAAGTCAAAGCATATCTAAAATAACTTTCCAGAGATACAAATTGACACTCGATATCTTTGCATCGTTAGTAGCCATAGAAGTATAGTATATAGAATTTCACTGGAGATGGAAATAGGATATTGGGGAATGGATTCTTAGAAGTTGGACAATTTCCTTGAACAATAAATGTGGATTATTCAGATACTTAACGTAATTCAAAATTTCTAGTACTGAATCATGGCCTACTACGCCAGTTTTAATACCTTAGTCATGAGTATCATTGAATTTCACTACTATCCTGATACCAATAAGACTCTAGATAGTTGGTTTAGATGTTACGAAGACTACTTTAAAGTGGATATTGTTGGCAAAGATTATTCCTGGAATGTAAGTCTCCTACTTCGAAAACTTTGTCCACCTGAGCTCGACCAATACTGAAACATAATTTCGCCGCAGAACCTACATGATTACACTTTCGACGTCACTGTTCAGACACTGAATGACATATCTGCAGAATATCAACGACTATGCAACCTACAGTGCAATACGAGTTTAGCCCAATCCGGATCTCAGAGTGGTTGTAAAGTACATATAGGTCGTCAGACATCTCATTCCTCCGCATCACCCTCTGACCATACACATTCTCGCCCTATTTTGCTGATTCATCCGCCCAGTAACTCATACAATACCAACCAACCCTTGAAGAAGACACCGCTATTGCTTTGCTGGCATTGTGGTGCCTGCCATTTGGTCAAATCTTGTCCACCTAAACAACATCGATACAGGGACTGTAATGCTGGTGATCATAAGGACGATTTTGCTGAAAACACACACAACGATGTGTACAAAGGTTATCCCTCCAGATATCACCGCAGATCTCATCCTCGATTGGTAAGTAAATCTCTTGGATTGATAGCGAATTTTCATGCTCATGCACCTACTTGCAGTAAGAATATCGAGAAGACTACTTATCCCCGAGTAAACCAGGAGAAACTCCCTGTGTGTTGGTCAGATAGATGCAAGGAAAAGACAGTGAGGTCCAGTCTGACCCCAGATAACATTCTGTAGAAGACAGAGGTGATATGAGAATAGACAGAAAAGACTAGTTCAAAGAGAGACTAATCGGAATGTATTCTATGTTATCACTTCTATAGTTAGAGAGATAAACAGACAGATGATGGATCAGCCAATCAGTAAGATTATTTTAAACAGTGAATTATCTATACATATTTGATATATTTGCCTTTGTTTCGATCTTCGGTCTTTCAACCCCAATACATATTTCAACACGTCCATCGTGTCTTCTCCACTAATTAGTCAGGTCAGCAATCCATTAGGAATTTGTTAAACGTAGGTCGCTGACACTCGATATCTGTACATCCTTAGCGATCATAGCGGCATAGCATAGACAGTTTTCAAATTATAACATAAATTCAGTTGTAGATGTAATCCAGTTTAGAAATGAAGTGGAGAGTGATGAAGGATTGATGTCATCTCTTAGTCTAGTCACTTCCAACCTTTCTCCATCTGACTCCCATTTCAGCTAACATAGCATGTCGGGGTAGACATACATGAGTAGACATACGAAGGCTTCAGGTGTGCTGACCACCGTTGCCTTCATAGTATAGGCCATGGTATGTCGTGGTGTCACCATCTGTGTAACTCGGAAGTCAGGTGTAGACTTTTAGGAAGTAGAGGTAAATCAGTTGACGAGGTTGTGAACCTTCACCGACTGAGATGGTTGGGACATGTGTTACGAATTCCTGGTTGCTGATTGCCTCGTCACAAAATGTTGGACGAAGTAGGTCTAGGCTGGAAAAAGGCTCGAGGTGGCCAGACTAAAACATGACATCAATGTATGAATCCATGTGGGGGGATGCAGACTGGGTGGTTGGGGTCCGCGGGACAAGAGAAACAAGTAGTTGGAGACTCTATGTGATCACATGGCTGAGAACAGAAGGCAGTAGCGTAGATGTACCGCCACACACATTATCATCCTCATCTTAACGACGCTATACCGAATCTTACCATTCTCTCATTCTTCCTTTCTTTCTTTTTGTACTCCATATTTCTTTTGACTGAGTTTTCCTCTCTTCATCTCCCACTTGACTGCCTTTTTCCTTGATGTACTGATATGAGGTGTAGCGGCAACTTGGACCGTTACGAAGTAATGCCTGGTCCCATGTTAATATTCATGATGATGACGTAGCATGTATTCCAGCTATTTTCAACGATGATGATTTACAGTCTAATCAAATGGTTTATCTGTTTTACTCAAAGTAACCTCTGTAATATCAACCTAGTGTGCTTATGACAGGTAGGCAATGTTACTAAGGCAGGAGGTGTCTTATGTCCTCGCCTTTACCGGTTGTATTTCACAAACATAGAGTAGGACATAGCGAACCATTGTGCACTACAACTCACAGGATACCTTCGCCGGTGCTATCAATAGCATAAATTAGCACAAAACAATTGAGTCTTTTCTATCCGTATCGAGATCTTGTCAATAAGTGACTCATCGGGGAGTAATTCTAGCTTAGAAATGAATGAAGCAGACAATGCAATCGACCACTTCACTCCATATTCTCAAGTATAAACATGAACCAGTCCTGAAGGGATAATTTCCCTTTGGATGAAGAGAAACATATCCCAAACATTTTCAAACTGTCATTGTATGCACTTTTAATTTACAAAGGGATCTTCTGCAAGACTAATAAATCAGACAAGGAAGGAAAGATATCAATACACACATCTATAATAAAGTTCAATAAAAATTGAGAGAGTGGATACCTTTGATGGGACACCACTCTATGCTTTAACATGACCACAAGTGTTTCAAAATAGAACCTTTAGTACGGTGATGTACCTACCAATCGATATGGAACTGCGGTTCAAACAGTGTACCATGAGTTCGAACCCCGCTCATCCTACCGATGTTTAGGCAACCTGGCAATATCATTTAACCTGTGGCAAGAACGTACCACAAGGTGTGTTTCCATTTTGAGCACCTCTCTGTGAAAAACACTACCATAAGACTTCTTAACTAACGAAGTTGAATGATGCTTACAGGTCAGGAAATGAAGTTGACCTTAAGTGAATAGCAAGCATATCTGATCTCGAATATTTAGCAGAAGGTGACGACTTGACTAATACATCCATATATAGGTTTGAAATCTACCTGAGTCTTCAAAGCTTTTTGTTCATGAACTCCAGATAGACATCGGATAACAGTTCAACTTAGAATCTTGGATACCACTGTGGTCGTGACAATCAATCTGTCATTATCACAAGATGATTCCTGTTCGTTACGCAACACTGGAGGAAATCAGAGTTCCATAACCTAACTAATGTCTTAGTCAGTTTAAACGGATTCACATCTTTATAGAGGGATGGCCCTTGAAACTTACTAACTTTGACCTATCATGAAAAATAATGAAGTGAAACGCAGCAATTGAGTTCAAGTTTACAGACTAGGTAATGAGTTACATTTTTTCTAAATGTGAGTTCATGATACTCCCGTGATTTGCAGGTAGAAGAAGTGAGGCGACATCTGGACTCGCTGCTACCCAGCGGTTAGTAGTTACCTATCTATATCAGTAAACTGCAACTTAATACTTACGAATAAACACGAAGATAAATATATGATTGACAGAAATCAAGCGGTAGTAACGCATCATGATTTCACGCGGTAGTCATCAGGCAAAACCTCATAGCTCAGTTGGTAGAGTATCGGGCCGGAAATCAGGTGGTCGCTGGTTCGAATCCGGCCGCGGTTCAGAATGCTATCTCAAATGATAAGAAATCATATAACCACACACGAAAATTCTTACCAATAAATCCGTCAGAAGTTCAACACGAAATTCAGTAGCGAATGTTAACTCATGACGTTTACGGTTTGAATCCAATATCTCCATAATGAACCGTTTAAGTTGAGGTTGATTTGATTTAGTATTATGATCTATTCTTACTTCATAAATTTCTTCATAAGTCCACTGATATACATATATGCATGATTAAATAAAATGCAGTTAATTAAGATTCATTACACAATAACAAAGGTATAGAAACTCCTACACAATAGTTACGCAGCCTTCATATTACGTCCAAGTAAAGAACGAAACGCATTCAACTACCTTGTCCACATTTATGCAGTAGACGGTAATGAGCTAGATCTATTATATGAGGGCTAGTGATACTATCTGGTTGTTGAAACCTCGGTGGATGGAGCACAGTTCGAACCCATTGAGCCACAGTTCCAGCTCAAGTATTGAGACCCAGTTGGTAGGGCGCTGGGTCAGAAATCCAATGATCGGTGGTTCGAATCATTCTACTTTCAATCATCATCTAGTATCAATATATAAGATAAAATGGATAAGAACCTCGAGAACATCCAGAAAAACCAAAGCACAACAATCAATATCTACTTCGTGCTGAGCCTTAATATTAAGTAATAACAATATCACTGACGAATACATTCAATGCTCGTGGGAATGATTCACTCTCACTGATATATTCGGTTGCTGTCAGTGGAGTATGACCTTCATGTAGCCTTGATTTTCATGACCTTCGAAAGCGGCTTATGCTGGATTAAATATTTCTTCCTTAATTCCCTCGACTTCCGCTAACAGTGAGAAGACTTATCGTTTCACATTTCTCATCTCATTCAAAAACCTATTTCCAATAACCCTGATGCCATTTTTCTTAACATTTTCACAGAAATGTACTATAGATCTGGCACCGAGTGCCATGAAGACATCATATTAAAAGTTTATTGTGAAGGTAGATAAAAGTGGAAAATATGGAGCTACAATTTTTTGAGATTCAAGCGCAGCTTTTTATAATTACAAGTATAGTTTTCAAAATCGTAAATCCACTACTGAACTGTCTTCTTTCATAATGACTAGTGATACTACCCGGTAACCCGAACGTCCACAGGTACACTTGCCTTATTTCATGACATGAGGGCAGTATTTGACTCTATCGACTATGAGGTGTTGTGGCAGTGTCTAACTGTGAAGGGAGTACAGACCAAGTATATAAAGTTAATCAGAGCTCTCTACTCGAACTCATGCAGCTGTGTTAGTGCTTTACGAATTGACGACAACCAGTGGTGCCCACCAGAGATGCCCACTGCCATTTTTCCCGTTTAATTTCATTATTGATGTATTAATAGACATAATCCTAGGTATTTCTAACTTCATGCAGACTCATCTATTCCCTGGACTGCATCTAGTTGACTTGAAGTATGCAGACGATATTGTCCTGCTGAGTTAAGAAGCTGGAAAAATTCAGGCTCTTCTGAATGCCTTAAGCAGAAATGTATGTTTGGCACGCGTCTCACTGAAACCTGTCAAGTGTCGGATGATGCTACAGGAATGGTCTGCTCCAATTATTCCAAGTTGGATGATAGAGAGTAGAGTGGTAGAATGTATCGACCACTGCTTACTAGGGGAGTGGCATCAGCCTGAAAGGGTTGGCTCCTAATGGAATCTCAGAGACAATTGTACTGAGCTCTAGTCCGTTTTGTTCTTTTGGACGGCTATGAGACATGGCAGTTAAAAGTAGAAGACATGAAGCGATCACACAGTTTTCATCACAGATGTCTTCGTAGCACTGCTCGCGCATGATGGAATCACCGTGTGAGCAATGTTCAGGTGAAGCGAAGGGCTCTATGCATGAAAGGCAAGTCGATTGATGAGGTTATGAACGTTCATCAACTGAGATGGCTTGGACATGTACTGCACATGCCTAGCCACCACCTACCTCGATGTGCTATGCTTGGAGAAGTTAAATTAGGTTGAAGGAGGGTTCATGGAAGCTAGACCAAGACCTAACACCAGTCGATGAAATCTGCGACTCTTGGTCTGATACGTGTTAGGAGATGTAGACTACCTGGCTGGGGTCCCCGAGACGAAATGAATCAGTGGTTGAGGACTGTTGGTGGTATGGCTGGAAATCGGTCACAATAGTGCAGATGTATTCACTCACTCCTCGACATCTTCTAAAGCTTGAATATTCTCATCAACCCTTATCTTCATTCACTTTATGCCTCGTAAGCTGACAGTTATGTGAAACACATCAGTGTTAACACCCACCAATCATGAACACAAAAACATCCAGAATGTGTTAAATCGCTATTGTTGCCTAAAGATGCATATATATGAGTATATTTTTCGAACTAGGTTGCGATCCAAGTCAAATAACACCTTCAACAGTGATTATCAGATTGCCCTATCACAAGACGGTAATGACCAACCTTTGATTACATTACACGCCGTCTACTGAAACATTGAAAAATTCTAGTATGTCAGAGTCAAATAATTTCACAAGCTAAACCCTAGGAGTTGAGCAATATTGAATTCATATGCGCTTCTATGAAGCTAGGTGTACACATAGGCTGTATGCAGAGGCGGATTGTCCAACGTCGATACACGAACACTTTCCAGCATTGCTCGGTAAAGTTCAAAGTAGATCAATTAACAGGTCGATATTACACCACTCGATTGATAGAAGATTGGTTTGTACTAGTGTACAACGTAATCTTTCGAGGGGTGTTAAGAAGCATTTACTTTAGAGTGGTGAAGCTTTGGTAATAAAAAAAAATTGAAACCAGAGTTGTGGTATGCAGAAGTAACTTCACCATCCCCAGTTCTTGTTCACTACTTAATTCTTAAACCTTCCAATTCTTAAGCCTAACTAATCTTTCACCACCACCAAACCTTTGTAATATGGTGATTATATAAACTATTTGCTTTTAAGTTGTCATTTGTTGTAGACTGACATCAGCTGGAGGAACAAAGGAAACCTGGGAGCACTAGACAGCTGATTCGTCCTAGTATGGGACCCCTCAGCAGTGCGCACTTACGAACCGGCACCACCAGGGGGTCGAACCCACGACCTTCAGGTTCCGTGGCCAGCACGTTACCATTGATCCAATGGGTCAGAATTCAATCGTCCACATTTCCAACTTCTGTTAGCTCACGATATAGCGCAACCGCCACCCAATGTCACCGTTGACTAACTGTCCTCACGACCATCAGGCTTTGCACCCACCGGTCATGACTTCTCATTGGAACTTCGGGAATACTTCTCGAAATTAGTCACCAATAGGCAGCAGTTCAGTGGAATTTCGAGGGAGTTATCACTGATTTCCCATTCCTTTGCTAACTGACAACTGTCTATTCCCTTTGTTTATGCATTATTACCTAATGATTTTAACTCATATTGTCAAATACTTTGATATTTCTTATGTAAGTCATTCCCATTTCTATGCATGACCACAAACTAAAAACTATTGGTAATTAATTAAATATTGACATCTTTTTTATGCACACTAATTAGAGTAGAATATTGATGAAAACAAATTTGTTCCAGCTAAAGTCTCTATTCGTTTATTTCAAGAAAAACGTTGTTTTTTTAAATAACGAATACTGTTTGAAAAATTGATTACCTGGTTAGTCACCCTTAAAGTATCTTTGTTATATGTTGTTATCCCAAGTGTACCAATTGTAAACAGACGTTTATAGCTAAAAGGAAATTTTTAAAAGGCATAACTAACAACGAAATGATTTACTCACTCACTTATATCAACATCACACTATACAACAAATATAAGTCCTGCAGTCGAAATTTGTTTTACAAATGATTTGTAGAGTTAGAGATAAATAAAAGCGAAGTAGATGAACATAGTAAAAAGCTTACGTAAAAAAAGTGAATCAGTTTACACTGTTGAACTGGCCTCAACAACATAGAGGGTGTGTGGTTGTGTGTTGTTAATGTATGAATTACAATAGCCGAGTTCTTTTACTAGATTATTGATCTTATTCGGGTTTATCATTCTATATTCAGCTAAATTCCTATCTTCGGCTATTTTAACTGACCTCGACCGGTTAGTTTCACGTATGTACTTAACCTGACTCACAGTCATTACATGCAATTTGATAGGTTAGATTCTTTTGCTTAATTGATTCTATAAGATCCTTAAGCCACCCGATAAAGTTTATCTGTGAGTGAGTTTGTAGGTTTGAGCGGCACCCTAATTCCAGCCTAGGCTGGGAAACGGCCCGAGGTGGTCAGACTAAAATATGGCACCAATGCATGAAGTCTCTGACTGTTGGTTTGAGCCGTGTGCGGCGATACAGACTGGGTGGTTGAGGTCCGTGGGACAAGAGAAACCAGTGGTTGGAGACTCTAGGTGATATGGCTCAACTGATGTCAGTGGCGCAGATGTATCCCCATCTTAACACTATACCGATTTCCACCATTTTGTCATTCTACCTTTCTTTCTCCTCGTACTTTATATTTCTTCACATATATCTTCATCTTTCACCTCACTGCCTTTCTACTTGCTGTACTGATATGAGCTGTGGTAGATCGGAGCGTTAACCAGTAAGGCCTGGCCTTATGTTGATATTGATGATGACTTGTCGAGAATCCTACGCAAGGTTTTTGGTGTTCCTTTCTTATATGATAACATATTAGAGGCTTTGAAATTATTTGTACTCGTATTGTCTTTATTATTCGTACTCGTTTTACTGTTATTATTTCGTTTCTTATGGGTTTGTACGAATTTCTTATTAAACTGTAGAGGATAATTATTCATAACTAAGGTTTCTCTCATATGCTTCAATTGCTTGCTTAAGTCCTTGCACTGGCTACTGAATCTCCTATAGCTTAGACATTTGACTAAGCCCGCCTTAAGCGACAGTTTATGATATGATCTGAAATCTAAATACCTGTTAGAATGTATCGGTTTCCTATGGAAGATAGTATCTAAACCAAATCTAATATGGAATTATATTTCATCACAGTGCCTAAATTTTACACTTGCATTAAATAACTGTTAAGGATTTCTGCAAGATTTTAGTTTAACCAGAGATGATGAATGCTGTACACCTAAATAAGCAGTAATTTGGTATATTTAACATCTAAGACAGTTTAGCTTATGCAGGCTCTTAAGTTGATTCAGCGAACAAAGCTTCGATTATCAAGGTAGTTTAATTAGATTTTATAATTCCAAACTTAGTCCCTATGCTCTGATAATCTGAATGATGCAACTCCCTCATCCCCAATTGACTGTTTCGACTGATTTATTTGACTTAAAGAAATACTATATAGTATTTGGTAGACAAATTTGTCGGGGCTGGGTCAACTTTAGAAAAGTATATGGTGCATTCCATGGTGCTCATAGTGTTTTAAGTTTGTGTTTATAACAAATAACAAATTATTAAGGCTGATAAATTGGCTTCTCAGATCACATAGGTATTTCATTTCAAACATTTTACGTTAGCATTGTATCTTATTGAAAACTACTCGAATTCTACACCAATTAACCTCAACTAAAGAAATGAGGGCTTGATAACCTTTAGATGGATGACAAAATCATGTTTTTCGATGAACTTTGCATGCGATTAAACCAGTCAGTACGCCTTCAAGAATGATATAAATACTACTCCTTAGTGTATTCTTAAAACAAGATAGGCAACTATGAGATATGTATTTGTATTTGGCCTCCACAATCCATAATAAATAGAATAAGCAGCAGTGTAATATTTGCTGTGTTGACATTAAAACACCCATAGTTTCATCACAATCAAACACACACACAAACTCAGTAATAGATAGGTCCCAAACTAACTTTTGGCTAAAAAATAAACAAACGCAATTACCCGCGTAGAATTGTAGGATAAGATGGCATCCTAAAAACTAAAGCTAATAAAAACCCAGCTACATTTTAACAAATAAGTATGTTTTGAGGTTTGGTTAGTTTTTTGAGTAGTCAAACCAGGAAACAAGATGGTTAGTCAAGAAATCTGAAGAAATAAATGTGACACCTAAAACACCATTCATTTTTAACAATAGAAACCTAGATTTTAGTCGGAAATTCATAAAAACTTATAGGAAAATCATCAAAAAGTCTTCATAAGTGACTACTATAGAGATCAAAACACGGATAACCGGAAGCAGTGGTCAGTAGCGAAGGCTAAACAGATGTGAAAGGCAATGGCGGTAGGTGGCAGTAATCATTCATATTTATCAAGCAAACAGGTGAAAAAGTCGATGGTTTGTGACAGTAGAGTGGAGAAAGATTGTTCCGTGGCTTAATCGTGAGAGACAACTGAAATGATGGGCGGAAACCTACGAGTAACAGTTCAAATGACCTCCAGCTACCACTCGGTAGCCCGCTGTTAGGTCGCAGTTTCATCGGAACACTGGCACAACCTCTAACTCTTGCAGAAGTTGAGAAGGCTGTAAGTATTCTCAAACGCAGCAAGTTCTGATGGATTTGCGCCAAACATTTAGAAGTAGTAGCCCAGGTTTATATATTATATTTGAGGAAGTGTTATTAAGGGTATTGAAATTAGATGTGATCCTCTTTGATTGTTCCTAATCGCTGATTATCACAGTCTTCAGGAAAAGAGAAATATTCTGTAATGATAACCAGAGAGGAACATGATCAATGGACAAAATGTCCAAGATTCTAGATTTAATAATCATTCAAAATCTAGACAGGTTTAGATCTGGATATGGATGTACCAATTAGATTTTTACTCACTACCACCTATAATCAGCTGCATTTCTTGACCTGTAGGCGTTATTCAACTCCAACAGTTGCGAACTCTTACGGCAGTGCCTTCCCCAGACACATGGTCGGTAAACACACTGCTCTACTAAAAATTCGATGGTATCAGTCCATGAGGCCTCTGACTACTGGTGCGGACTTGATTACGAAAATGTAGACTTTCCTGTTTCGATACACGTAAAAACCAAAATCGGTAGCTGAAGACCCTACGCGATTTCCCCCGAAGTTGATTTTAGTGATACATGAACTCACATACTACCTTTCTACTAAGCATTATATCGGACTGCTAAAAGAGTAAACGGACAGTGTCCTAGATCATGATTACATTTTAGTTTGTTTATTAGTTGCATCACACAGTGAGACATTATCACCTGGATAACGTTTCGAACATAACTTACTATCCACATTCATATCAGGTGACTTCCTAACTTTGAGACGTGGTCTATATAGTTATAATTCTCTCTCCTTTATCATAAGGGTAGTAGATACTTCTGTCTATCTGGAACAGGTGCAAAAATATTCCTGTTTCATGTATTGGGTGTTGATTCGATAAAGACTAGACTAGGCTATAGAAAAGCTCGGCTATAGTTATGCATGCGATTGCACATGATAGGATATCACAGAGAAAAAACCCTTAAAACTAACCTGATGAAGTGGAGAGAGAGAGAGAGAGAGAGAGAGAGAGAGAGAGAGAGAGAGAGAGAGAGCGATAACCGACAGAATTAACACCCAATACATGTAACAGGAATGATTGTGCACTTGTTTCAGATGTATAAAAAATTCTACTACTTTTATAACAAGGAAAGAGAGGGTTAAAAGTACGTAAACCATGTCACAAAGTTGTGGCACTACCTGATATGAATATGGGCAATAAGTTATGTCCAAAGAGTTATCCCGTAAATAATACTGTTTCAAAGTAACACATCTAATAAAGAGTAAAATGTATTGCATTACGCAACATGCGTTGGTGTCTCTTCCCTTCGTCGCTTATCTATGACTTTTGATTACACTACCTTATCTTGTACCTATGTTTTCTTTGTATTGATTTAACACGTTTTGTAGTCATGGCAAACTCCATGATGATGTTGCTTAACTGATAATTTTACTCAGAATTTGTCGGCTCCTAAATTCTGTTGACCCGATTAAACACATAATCAAATACGATACGATGATTATTGGGTGAAATATATAGGTCAAATCAGTCAATTAGAATTGATCAGGTTACTGAATCATCAGAACTTAACTAATTTCAGAATGGATACATCGATGCACAATCATGAAATGTGGAATAGTAATAACTCCAAAGGTGAAGATTTCATCATTGAACTCTTGTCCAGCAGGTTACAGATTAGTCTATGCTATATGAATCATGCCACATACAGATAAACATCCGACCATCACTGGAACTAAAATGTGAGAATTAATATAACTGTAAGAGGAAACTTCAAAATTCATGTGGCCATTCTGATGTTTCTGGGTAATATGTTGTATATAAAATCGTTCCCGGTAAATTACACTCTGTTCGTTGTTTAAATCAAAGAAGCAAACCAATCTGATAAGGAAGCATGCTCCATCACAGTATCCAAACTCTACTCACATCTGTATTAGCTTGACAAGAGTCATTGCATATTCAGCAACAAGCAGTAAGGTTGTTGAAACGTAGTGAAACGTTTTGCGTCAATCTTCACACAACCATATCAATTACAAATAACACTACGAATCGCCTCAGTTGTAAAAGTCGGATAAATGCTTCACTTTCAAAACATTGTTTTTCATAAACCGGAATGATATTAGGTTAACTTGAGCCCAAAAAGACTATTGTTTGCTTGTCACATTATCCAAGAAAGAATCTGTACAGTATTTATCGGCAGAGGATAGATACAAATAGATTTCTGTCGTTAATGAGTTATTGTGTTATAAAGATGACAGTTAATTTAATACATTACCATAAAAAAGAATAAATAAACTATTTGGTGAATATTAACCATAAAAGACACTTTACCACTTCGATGTACAACTGATTAATAAAGTTTAGAGTTTATTATTTTACTTACTTGCCCTTCCACGACATCTTGGTCAAGAGATAGCAGGACAACTCACGATTCTTCTGCATACATGCTCGGCGCATGTCGCTAGGCTGAAATATATATATAAAAAATTAGTATTTACAAGGTAAGAAAATGACGTAAAACTGACAATAAAACCAACCATCTCAAGGTCAAAAACAATAATTCCGCTGTCCAATCCAATATCCAATATTCCAATATCCAATATCCAATATTGATAGTGCGAGCGTAGAAAACTAGTAGTTTTTGATCTCTCGCGTCTAGTTCTTAGGGCTTGGTTCCAGTTGTTCGGTTTACTCCTGCAGTGGACGAGGAAATCCCCTCTGCTTTCTTGCTTTTAGCTTCGGTGAGGTGGATGTTTTGTGGGTTAGTAGGTTGTAATTTGTAGAGTGATTAGGGAGCTACGGGTTGCTGGGAAGTTTAGAGAACTGCCATGACTCCTGTCTGTGTAGGTACCTGGAAGAGAATAGTAAGGTAGTGGTAAAGGAATGAAGAGAGAATAAAGAAGAGAGTGAAGTAGCACCATAGAGACTCTGGGAGCTGGGTTAAGGCCGTATCGCTAACCATCCTTGCCTTGAAACAGGAGTTTGCGTAGATAGCCACTCCCCCTCCTGCTCTATGTTCCCTGTCCCTGCGGAAGAGTTCCATGCCAGCAACACGCATCTCTTCGTCGGAGATGTCCGATGAGAGCCAGGATTCGGTGATGAATATGATGTCGGAGTGCTGATGTTCACGCAGCGTCCTCATTTCTGCTACCTTCCCTATTAGCCCCCTAACGTTGCTGTACATACATATTAGAGTGTACCTGATGAGGGGGGAGGTCTGGTTGTGTATTTTAGCAGGATGACAGTTTATGTGGTTGGGTCTACCCTCGCCAGTCCTCATAGGACTGGCGAGTTGTTCGGTTTACTCCTGCAGTGGACGAGGAAAACCCCTCTACTTTCTTGCTTTTAGCTTCGGTGAGGTGGATGTTTTGCGGGTCAGTAGGTTGTAATTTGTAGAGTGATTAGGGAGCTACGGGTTGCTGGGAAGTTTAGAGAACTGCCATGACTCCTGCCTGTGTGGGTACCTGAAAGAGAATAGTAAGGTAGTGGTAAAGGAATGGAGAGAGAAATAAGGAAGAAAAAAAGGAAAAAAATAATAATATAGGGGAGAGAAAAGGGAAGGAGAAGAAAAGGAGTGGTGAAAAGAGGAATGAGAACGAAGGAAAAGTATTTTGGAATTGCCCGAATGGTCGCGTGGGTTTGGTTCCTACAGAAGAATTAGTAGGTAATGTGGGTGTATTAAGGAGAGAGATAGTGAGTGGTAGTTAGGAGGGAGTTGGGGACTACTGAGGTTGGTGACTACCTGAGTACGTCCGTGGTAGTCCATGCGAGGTGACATAACTGTCTAATCGCCTCTTGAAAGAGTCGACTGAAGGAGCTATAACGATGTGTCGCGGTAAGGCATTCCATAAAGCACATACTCTTAGGGAGAAAAATTTGGACCTGAGTGTGGTGTTGGCTCTCTGGTGTGCTATCTTAATGGGGTTTCCTCGTGAAGATCGTTCAGTTGCAGGCAAAATTGATTTGTTTGCATGGTCTGCCTGATGGGCGATCTTGTATGCCATAATGAGGTCACCCCTTTTCCTGCGATAACCCAAGGTAAATAGGTTGAGGTGTTTAAGTCTTTCAGGATACGTCTTTCCCCTTAGCCCCACAACACATTTTGTTGCAGTTCTTTGTATTCTTTCAAGGAGATTAGAGTCTCTCTTGAGTGTTGGAGGAGCCACCGTATTGAAGACCTCTAGGTGCGGCCGCACGTAGGATTTGAAAATGGTGAGGAAGAGTTCGGGAGTGAGGGCGCCAAGCTGTCTACGCAGAAAGTGTAGAATGGCGTTCGCTCTGGTTGTCATACCTTTGTAGTTGGAGCTGGTGTCCAAGGTGTCGGAGAAGTTGAGCCCCAAATCTTTCTCCATGGACACTCTGGTGATAGCACGGTTGCTCAACATGTACTGGAAGTCGGTCGTACTTGCCTCATTTTTACTGATGTGCATTACTTTGCACTTTTCCAGGTTGAAGCTCAACCCATTTTCCGACGACCAGAGCTCGAGTTGCTGCAAGTCCTTTTGTAGTGCTGTACAGTCAGCTTCTTCGTTTACCACCCTCCAAATTTTTATGTCGTCAGCGAAGAGGAGGATGGGTGAGGATATTTTATCTGGCAGATCGTTGACAAACAGGAGGAACAGAAGCGGTCCTAGGATTGCTCCTTGGGATACTCCTGACGTCGAGGGTCTCCACTCCGACCTTATTCTGTTCACTTTAGTGCAGAACTGCCTCCCTTCCAGGTACTCCTTGAACCAAGAGAGTAGGGGTCCACTTATACCAGCTGACATGATCTTGTGAAGCAGTACTGTGGGTGGGACACTGTCAAATGCTTTGGCTAGGTCGAGAAATACAACATGTACAGGTTTTCTATTATCCCAGCTTTGTGTCCAGTCGTCCCAGGCGGTTAGTAAGTTGGTGGCACATGAGCGACCACTCCGAAAGCCGTGCTGAGCAGTATGGACAGTGTTTTCCTATTGAGGAATTCCCAGATGGTGTCAGCTACCAGGCTTTCCAACACTTTCGACACAATAGGGAGTAGGGCAATTGGCCTGTAGCTGCCAGGGCTTTTTCTGTCTCCTCCCTTGAAGATGGGTGACAAGATGGCGCTCTTCCATTCTTTAGGGAGTTTGCACGAGTCTATTGAGTGCTCAAAGAGGTTGCGAAGTGGTTTAGTAAGCACCTCGGCGCAGTTTTTCAGAACCACTGGTTTTAGGTTATCGCAGCCAGGGGACTTGCAATATGGAGATTAGGGGGAAACTAATACTTTATGGGCTCTGCATCTTGGGGCTGGGTTCTTTTCGTCCGGTTGTACTCCTTCGATGGACTTAGAATTCTCTATATTTTTCTTGCTTATAGCTTTCGAGGTAGTGATTATCCATTCCCAATATCTAACATCAGTGGTGTGTGGTGGAAACTTGTAGGTTTTGAGCTCTCGATTCTACGTCTTGACACTCGGTTGCTTTCCTTCGGCTTCAGTCTTTAAGTGGTCGTGGAAGTCACTAACCTTTTCTTTTTCACAGCTTTGGAGTACTCTTGCATTGCCAGCTTGCTCACAGCAGTGGATAAATAAACTGTCATTGTCGACTATCTTAACACGATAGGTACAACCTTCCAATACATCTCTAAGTTGTTGGATTGTGTTGGCTATTTCTGCCTCATTTGCAAATTGCAGCTTGTTATGGTTAACCCGCTACTCACCGACTGTTAACCATTGTCTTAATGCAGCCCCTTATTTAACGTTTGAGTGCGTTTTGAAAGGCCTGACCATGCAGGATTACCTCGCTGCGTCAGTCATGGTTAAGTAGTACAGCTTTTCCTTTAAATATATATTTCAAACATCGGCTAACAAGAGTCTTCAAAAACCCACTTTTTCGTCGACTGCTTGAAACTGTAGAGTAAATTCGAAAACCATGAAAACAGCTTTGTAAACAGAGCTGGTGCGGCTTCAAATCTGTGCAAAAAACTTGAGCCAGAATATAGTCTTTAAATATGTATAAAATCCTCAAGTGTACACATAATAATAATTTGTTCTTGCAAATACAATACAATACAGTTAAAGGCCTGACTGCATACTTAAACCAATTTAACAATTCTGACCGATACAGCTTCATTCCCAAAAGGTAATCGCAAGTTTATATAAGTGGAATTAACGTAGGACAGTGTGTGTCATTAAGTCCCGATGGCACAGAAGACTGTGCCACTGATATGAAGAGAGCAAGACACCAGTACGCTTAGACTTAACATTTCTTCTGGGTACCGCACTACTTATTTTCATGTTCTACCCAGTTTAGGTGAACTCTTCTGTGGCCAAAAGAGGAATTAGGAGCGTGCTCTGGGTTGTCCCAGATTCTTTATCTACAAGGAAACAATCCCTTGTCCTGATATAATAATGATCACCACCTTCCGGATATACCCTGCGGTACGAAAGGAAATACTGCTGAAAAATCAGTGGAACTAAGACGAGGACGACTCGAGAGATCTATTTGTTCGTTCCACTTTTATTTGGTGATCAATCAACGCTGTTAACTGCGAGATATAATAATTGCTACACAATTTGCCTAAACTGCAGATTTACTTTACCAGCAACTATAATATCTGTCACACAAGCGGTTACTAAATCGTAGGTAATAATAATAATATATATTTCATACAACAAAGGTTACATGAATACAAACCAGTCTACGGGTTTGATCATTTTGGTAGTGAGAAATGACTATTATGTACAATGTTAAGCTATACATCAGATACTGTTATTTATGGCATATAAGAGGTGTGTTGAAGCAGGCTCAGTTCGAATTTGAAGATCATCCGGCTGTCGTTTGAATCATCCAATATTCTTGAAGGTGAGGCCGCATCACGGCCATGACCTTGAGGTGTGCTCGTTCGTCATAAGGTTTTGATGGCAATATTTCCTACTGGCAAATGCGATTTGTAGGATTCCATTTGAATGCAGGACTGTCTAGGTAAACCTGAAAAGTGAATAACAAAAGCGAGCAGCAGGCGAAATTCGGAACAGGAGCACAAAAATACGCAGGAGTAGATCAACCATGATACATCTGGGTGAGTTCTTTGTACTGACTGTAAAACTTACTTCAAGAAGTATCCAGAACCAGCTGTTCAGGGGTAAGCTTAGGTGAAAAAGATGAAGTTGCACATGACAGTAATGAAAATCAGTCTGAAGCTGAAGATATCACTACGAAATAGAGAGATTAGAGGATTTTGAACCAGGTGTTCACTTGTTATATACCTATGTACTAGCTTTTGATGAAGTTATAAACATTTAAGTGAAATTTTATGGTTTCTTCTAAGACGGTAACCACCCTTTATCTGGTCATGGAGGGGGGATGATCATGGTGTTGCCTGCTGAGTATTACCATATCGGGGCTACCGAAACTATGTTGGTGCAGAGTACTTACACGTAAGTACTGATTACGAAGGGCAAATAATAAAGAGTCACATTAATTATGACACACCAATCATTAACGGGCATACATTCACCCACAAACCTTTCATCATTATCTCAAGCAAAAAGTAAAAACTGTTGCAGTGGAAGCATTAG